ATTATTGATTTTTACTGTACTTATTAATATTCTTATTGTAAAAGGGTTAACACCCGTATATTATACATAAATAAATAAATATCAAATTCATACTAAATTTAAAAACTATAATTAGTATTTATTCATATATAATAATTATAAATCAAAGAACTACTAATCGGAATAAAATTAAGGGAATAAGAGTTATTGTTATTTTTGAAATAATTTACCAATTTCTTAAAATTAAACACTATCTACAGATTTGCATCGAAACATTTCTTATGATGGTGGTTTTAATCTCTGTCAGATATCATCTATACTTATCCCAACTATGCCATGTCCATACTGTGCCGTGACCCCACTCTGCTACCGTTTTTTTATCTTGCATTACATATAAAATTTGACACCGGCGCTACTGATTACTGTGAATATTAATACATAGTAACAACAATATTTTTTTAACATTTACTGAAATGATTATTGAACTTATCTATGGGTATAATAAATACAGATCATATTTGAAATTCTTACAATAATTTTTTCTTTGGTAATCTATAAGCCAGAGGAGTATTTCTATCTTTTTGAGTTTCATTGGTTCCTCAATAATTAAACAAACAGGATATATTTTATGCTAGTAATTTTTTGGCCGCCGATCAGGTGTAGCGCCACTTGCGTACCAACGGTTAACGCGATCTGTATTGTTGCGCGTTGTTGTGTACGGCTAGCCAATCTGGCGAATATACTAGAACGATCCTATGACGGATAGTGGAATGCCTCAACTTGAGAGCTCACAGCTGAGATCCGTGATCGCGGTTTATTAACAAGATAATTTTTGATGTTCATAAGCCGATCAACCAATAAGAAGGACTTAAGAACAGAATGTATGAAATAACCAGCTTGCTAAATGATTAACAATTCATAAATTTACATTTGTTTTTTTTTTATTATAAGAGTATTGTCATTAATTTTTATTTAATTAGATAGAAGTTGTGTCCATAAAGGCGAAAATACTTAATACCACGTCCAAGAGGTGTAGCGAGTCAGTAGCATAATAGTAATATGGTTGTCTAGTTAATGAGTATGGAAAAGAATTAAAATAATTAAGAATGGTGTTCTAATAGCTTAAAAGTAATGAGATATGACTTATTTTAGTAAATTATTACAATTAATATTGATATTGAGTTGGATTTGACAAAATATCCAGTCTTTCTTGTATGTTGTTTCAAATTATTTTGAGAAAGTATATGTTTATTTTGTTGGAATGATTTAAATATCATATATCATTGAAAATAACAAACGTTAGTTTAATTACCGACACTATACCAATCAGTATGAAATCATTAAAAACTGTGTAAAATATTATAAAATTAATTTTTAAAACTATTTTAAATATATTTATTTATATTTTAGCTAAACTTAGATAAAGAAATGGAAAATTGTCAATAAATGATTAGTTAGATGTATGAAACTAAAATTAAAAAATTCAAATAAGTTTAATACGACAGATGTTTTATCGTAAATATTCGTCTTATTATTTAAAAATTCAGAATACAATAAATACGTGTCTTTTGTCACTTCGTCGAATTATTTTTTAATCAAAAAGTTTCAGTAATAGTTAATAGTAATTATTTTCCCATGACTTCATCAAAAGTTTTCAAATTAATTTTTTTATTATTGTGTGTGATTTTGTATACAAAAGCACCTCCGAGTTTAAAAAAAAATACAGGACAATTAAAGAGGTTACTATTATATTCGGGATGGACAAAATTAAATGATGTAAACTATATAAAATACTTACAAAAAAGTTATTACGTTCAAACTTTGATAGAAACACCTTTACATCGTATTAATTGTAATAATAAAATACGAGGTTTGACTATATTTCTTGGATGTACATACTCAAAAGTTATGCAAAATTTTTTTTCAATTATTAGAAACTACCAACTAAAATGTGATAAAATATCGAAAAAAGAAAACGATGTAATAAATGGATACAATTGCATTGAAAAACTCATAAATATAATATCTATATTTATTGTTCCTATGGCCAAATTGATGAAAGAAGCCATGATTGCTTTGGATTTAATACATAAAAATCCATGGGGTGACCCATTATGTGATAAAAACTCCTATAAGATAATTCATTTCATAGGAGAAATAGAAACTATTCATGACAAATTAAATGAACTAATTATAAAACGTGATGATATTTCTATATTCAATTCGAGAATAACTATTATAAACTTAGTAGTTGACAAAATAAAACTTAATATGAAACAAAACACTGATTTCTTTTGTGTTTTTGAACCTTATGACATGGATTATTTATGGAATGGTTGGGTTCAAGAATATGAAGACATTGACTATGGCGCAAAATTAGAATTTTTCAAATTTATAAACAAAAAAATGAATGAATATATCAAGACAGTAATTATAGAAAAGTATTTTCAAATGGGGTTTAAATTTGATCCAATTACCGAAGAAACATTTGTCCCAACACCAGAGGAGCTAATTGAATTAGGTATTTAAAATAATAAAATATTAATTATATATTTATTTATAGCATTATAAATGTTTTTATTAATCTAGAGATGGAATTTAGAGAAACAAATGAAGAGCCTCCAACGCCAATACAAATAGAAATTCATTAAATTTTACAAAAAAATTGATTTTACCTTATAATAATGTATGAATTATTATTTTTATTAATTTATCAAATTTACGTTATTTTATAAAACTTTAAATAATTATAAAACATAATAATGTAATTTTATTTTTAATCACATCGTTAACTAATTTTAACTTAGTATGGTATAGCACTGAATATTTTTACTATGTTTTATTATATGATAAGATAATATTGAGTTTCATTTTATCTTCAGTAAGAAACTAAGAAGACATTAATTTTTCAAGGTTTATTTAGGTAGGTAGGTTATGGGATTTTATTATTATTTTAAAATACCTTACAAAAGTTTGCTATAGTAATGAGGCCACCAATTTTTATTAAAGATATATAAATCTAACTTGCATTTAATATAAATTTAAACTTATTTTGAATATTTTGGTTCAACTAAATGAAGAGAAATGACTGAATTTCTAAACTAGCTTAAAATATTTTTTTTTAGCTTTTTTTAATTAAATATCTTTACAAATAATAGCAGTATTAAATTCGTTTTTTTAGTAAATTCACAGTAAAATCATACCACTAAAATGAATCATTTTTTATTGTTCATAGATCAATAAAACGTTGCTAAACCAAATTTTTACGCTGATTTCAAACCTGAAATTAGATTTTTTTTTATGGCCTTTTTTTTTTTTTTAGGTGTTTAGTAATTCTAGTACAATTATCAAAGAAAATAACGTTAAATTATCTATCACTTAGGGTACACTTTATGTACCTGTCATTTTTGTTAATGTTCAATAATATTTCAATTTGTTTTCTTGCATACTTAAAAATATATTTTGTTAAATTTTTTTTCAAATAAATTAAAAATAGAATAGTGTCGATAATATTATTATGATTTATAATGACATTTTTTAAATTACAACATATTGAAAATGATTTATATTATATATATTTATTAACTTATATTACAAATATTACTATGAAAAATGTTATCTAATTGGAAACTAATTTTTCAATATGCACCATTTTTAAAAACGAATTTCATATTCTTTACTTAATAAAAGCCCTATAAAACAATAGTCACCCTGATATCACGAGGGAGGCATGAGGATACCCTCTTAATAGAAAACAGCAAGGAATCGTTGGATTATTCCAAAAGCAACATCAGTAGTAATGGTATGAAGCGCTTTGACCCTTAAAGGTTCTAACAAGTGAAATTGATAGGGTTGAAAGTATGAGTATTTTAGTGGTCACGTCACACAGGTGGTGTGATAACACAAGTCAAATCAGTGATGGTGACGTCATAATGACGTCGTATATGACGGTTGAAGCCAAGATAGTGTGAGGGGGCCATTCATGATGACGTCAAAATAACGTTAACTATGGATGTCCCCTCCAGGTGTCGGTTAATAAAGAATACAGTGTTTGTAGTGGGATATGGTTTACATGTGTTGGTTACATAGAAATAAATAAAAAACATAATCAAATTGTCGATATCTTAGTTGCATTTTTGACTTTCACACTTCTAATGTGTTTGTTGCTATAGATTATGAAATAACATTTATAAAACTTATGATGAAAATAAACTTTCAAATGAAGTTCTAACAACGTACGAAAATTGTCTAAGAACATTTAATAACGAATAGAAACTGAATTCTTTATCACCTATTCAAATGTCATAGCTGGATTTTACTATTTAAGCAAACCGGACTGTAAAATGTATTTTTAATTTAATCGAGCCGATAGTTGGACCTCAAACGATGATCCACTTTAAGAACACTTAAATAAATTACCTCAATGTTCAGGATAAGAATATTTATTGTATTGCTTAAAACGGGTTTAATAATTATTTTAAAAATAATAATAATACACATTTTTGATAAATAGTTGTAGTTAAAGTTTATAGTTAAATAAATTTTCTAAAATTTTATTTACAATTAATTTACTCATTTTAGGTTACGATGTTTTGTGGATTATACAGTCCCCAAAAACTAAAATTAGTGTATACCATAGACGCTGTAATTTATTTTGCAAGAGAATTATCTATTTGCAAAAAAAGAAACTATTAGATTTATTTTTATGTGCATTAAGTGTCCAGGAAAACTACTACGTTATTAAGAAAAAAGAAAATATACATTTATTGTATATTCACATTATATGAATAATACAATACATGTTTATTGTTTTAAATAACAGGATTTTTTTAAATTTTTTAATATTCCAAGAAAAGTTTTGTATTCACATTAACAAATCCTTCTAAAGGTTTTTCTCTTAAGCAATTCACCTTCATATGAGTTCAAATAATTGATTTCATCACTTTATACATGTAAAAAAAATAATATATTTTGCTATATAACTGGAGAAACAGCTTATATATATTTAATAATTTGTTTTCACGTGTTCTACTAGTCTCTCTATGTTGATCAGTCTTATTTTTTAATATAGAAATTTAAAAATGATTAAAAACGTAATTAATATATAGTTATTTTTTTTATTATTTTGACAAAAATATCTTTTCAATATTTAGTAAAATTTTTTAGTATATTCACTGTGTCACACTTCCAATTGGGGAGAAAAAATAGTTTAAATATGTTATATTACATAAACTTTCATTTAAGGTATACATAAAAGTGTCAGTATTTCCAGAACACTTTTAAAAATAAAATTAAAAAAGTCCTAGTTTCTATACGCATGTTTAACGTTTTGACCCCCCTTGTATGAAGGGAAATGGTCTGATTTAAAAAAAAAGTATATCGGATGAAATGGATTTATAATATGTATTTATAAAAAAAAATTCTATTGATCCATACATTTTTCAAAAAGTTATAGCAATATAAATTTAAAAATATAAAATCGAGAATTTTTTCACTAAAATCGTACTTTTTTCTATGACTTTGATGTCCGTTTTCTCCATGACGTCCAAAGATCAAATTTTTTTTTAAAATAAAGTATATTACATATGCTTCACTTTAAGGTATAAATAAAAGTGTCAGTGCCATTTTGAAATTCCCATGTGGGCTGGTAAAGAGTCAAATGTTCACAAAAATATATTAAATAATAGGTAAATACCTAAGGTATCTTTAAAAAAATTTGTTTATTTATTCATTTTTAAAATAGTTATGGCAGTTTTAAGAAAAAAAAATTGAAAAAATATCGAAAATTACCGATTTTTAAAATTGTAATTTTTTGGGGGATTTCTTCCAGTTACGGGGAATGAGGGAATTTTTTTTCAAATTTTGAAGTTGATAATTTTTGACTAGATACGATTTTTGATCTTTTAACGTATTGTTCATCAAATTCGTTCCAGTGAGAGCTAAGAATAAGTGGTAACAGACATAAAAAAATATAGTTTAAAAAACTAAAAAAACACGCTTTTAAAGTACATCGAACTAAAAAGTTAAAAATAATTTTTAAAATAATTATGAACAAAAAATACTAGTATTATTGTGATAAAAGCGTCGGGCGCTCAATATACGAAAAATATGGCACAAAGCACCCACGCTTTTATCACAATAATACTAGTATTTTTTGTTCATAATTATTTTAAAAATTATTTTTAACTTTTTAGTTCGATGTACTTTAAAAGCGTGTTTTTTTAGTTTTTTAAACTATATTTATTTTTTACTTTTTAGTTTCATGTTATGATAGTAGTTACTATCAATATCATGGTTGTTACGGGTAACGGGAAATCAGGGTTCGATTCTGGGGAGGGAGTCTGAGAAACGGCTACCACATCCAAGGAAAGCAGCAGGCGCGTAAATTACTCACTCCCGGAACGTGGAGGTAGTGACGAAAAATGACGATACGGAAATCATCCCTCGTAATCGGAATGAATACTTTATATCTCTTAATTAGAATAAATCGTGTTAATATATTAATTTTAATAGTAATTAGAATATATATATTTATACAAATAATGCGACTTAACTACGTAAAAGTATCATGCACTAAGTATAGCTGTGTTTTATGGCCGGGCGGGTCGGACTAACGTTATACCCGAGGTATAAACGGCGGTAGGAATATATATATATATACGTAAGGCGCATTAGACGCGGGCGTTATTGGTCAGTCAAAATAAAAATTTGTTTACATATATATAATGTACGATAACTAAAAATAAAAATTTTATAGGAATAGTGTACCGTCGTATTGTGAGCGAGGCGTGGGGAGGGGTGAATGCGTATAACAGTCTAGTCTAGACAACGGAATNCCGATTTTTAAAATTGTAATTTTTTGGGGGATTTCTTCCAGTTACGGGGAATGAGGGAATTTTTTTTCAAATTTTGAAGTTGATAATTTTTGACTAGATACGATTTTTGATCTTTTAACGTATTGTTCATCAAATTCGTTCCAGTGAGAGCTAAGAATAAGTGGTAACAGACATAAAAAAAAACATATCATAGTGAAATTAATACTTTCTCAGCTTCGCATCAAAGCTAAAATTTAATTAAATTTCAATGAAAAAATAATTACAAAGAATTAAAATCATAAAAAATTCTTAAATTATATCATAAAATGCAATTAACGTGTATAACAACTATGTTTATTAATGTACATACATTAGTTTAATGTGTTATTTAAAAAATTTTAATACCATGTATATTTCAACCAATATGAGCGTTTGAAATTTACGCTATCTATCAGCATAATCATCTACGCCAGTGCATTGATTCCCCTTCTGTTTATTCATGATAAAAATTGTGTATGGTATGGCCTATCTTGTGATGGTTGATATAAATATTTTATATTTGTTCACCTGATAACATTAATTTCTCAAATAAAAATTAATTGTTTTGGACATTAAATATATTTACTTATTTTTTAAAAATTATTCATATTTCTTATACTGCACCTTATTTTTTTTTATTTTATATTTGGTTCAACTTTAGTTCGTATTGTATTTTTAGTGGATAATAATTAATAATTTACTGATTTATAATGGTAATATCTTTTTAAAATGTTGGTAGAGTAACTATTTAAAAACTTAATAATTTTTTTAAGGCTAGCATGGTAGTTATTGGATTAGGATTAGCAGCAGCTGGTTTTGCTGGTCGACAGGCTTTGCGTGTTGCTCCTCAAGTTGCCACAAAAATGAATGAAATCCTTAAAACTATGTCATCTGAAACAGAATCAATTATGGTAATACAGTTTTTTATTTTTATAATTTCATTTTTCTATGTATCAGTTTAAATTATCTAAATATTTAATATGTATTTAGTCAGGTAAAAGGTATTATAAAGGAGGATTTGATCCCACAATGACTAAAAAAGAGGCTTCACTAATTCTTGATGTATCAGCTAATGCTCCTAAAAATAAAATCAAGGTAAATATCAAATAAACTTGCTCATATTTCATGCTGTAATACAAATTTTTATTACCCAAAGACATAAATACATTTTTTCATTAGTAAAAAAAATATAGGGTATTCAGTAAGTAAAGAAACAAATTTCTATTGTTCTTGTTGTTTATAACAATTGACCTGTTTCCTTATTTTTGAACACTCTTTATAATACATAGTGATTGTTTTAATGCTAACCTCTCAATTTATCTTAGAGTAATAATTATGTTAAGAAAATTATTTTTGATACGTTTTAGTTTTATATTTCTTAATTTATAAGTTATCTACCATATTTATAATTTATCCCTTACACTTTATTATGTGAAGTGGGATAATTTAAAATGCATTTTTTCTGCAAAAGTATTTATTTAACTTACATTAAATATATGATAGCAACACAAAGACCAGAATTTTTTAACCATCCATTAGTTAATACTTTATTTAATAATGAATAAAACAGTGTTACAAACTCATTTTGGCAAAAAAATGAAAATAGTGGTTTACATCTTAAGTGACAAAATATGCTGTCATTTTAATTAATCCAATAAAACCAGTAAGGCATTCTATATGCAAATATGCATTTACAAGTTTATCATAAATGTCTGTATTATAGGTTTTTTTCTATATATTTTATAGATAATGCATATATTGACTAATTTATAAATATGTATAGGTACATAGATATGTCTAGACCTTTTTCACATATCATGTCCAAAAGATTACTAAAGTCCCATATTTTCATATGTTAATAACTTTTAGAATACTAATTCAAAAATTACTATCAATCAGTAATTTTCTTAATTTTCTATTTTATAAGCTAAGTAAATTTGTATGTTTCCATTAAAATTATAAAATTGACATTCCTAAGAGACATAAAGGATGAACATAAATAAATTTTTATAACAGATAAATGTAAATACATATGCTACTAACAATAGCCAAAAAATAAATAATTATTTTAAGAGGCTGGTATCAAAAGAATCACCATATGTATACATATATGTATTTTTAATTTTATTATATTTATATTTTAGGAAGCACACAAGCGTATAATGTTAATTAATCACCCTGATAAAGGAGGTTCTCCTTACATAGCTGCAAAAATAAACGAAGCAAAAGATTTACTAGACAATAAGTAAACATCTTATTATTAATGTGATATATTATCATAGAAATATTTTAGTAATGTAAATAAAAATATATAAATAAATAAGAAATCATAGCGTGAAACTGAAATTATTTATTGGTTTCACAAACTATTCAATCAATTAATTTTTTTGTTTTTGTTTAACTTTCATGATCTGCGTTTACTGAAAAAATTAATTTTTTTTTTATTTTATGAGTAGAGAGCAGGTTTGTATGCATTTATAATTTTTTTTAATTAATTCCAAATACATAATCTACCTCTACAACTTTATATTAATAAGCTTGTAAACTTAGTTATGTGATCTAACTGTAGTTAGATTTTAGAGGTATATTGTCTTAAAAACATGAACTTCTTTCTACGCTANTTAGATTTTAGAGGTATATTGTCTTAAAAACATGAACTTCTTTCTACGCTACTGTATATTCTAGCAACAAATTTGTGTTTTTAAACAGAATTTATAAAAATTTACTCTTTATTTATAACCTTGAAAAATTGATAAATTAATACTTTTTTCAAAAATATGACATAGCTTGTATACTTATAAAAAACCCCAGCACAGTGGGGTCGCGGCACAGTGGGGATGTGGCATAGTTGGGTCAAGTATAATATCTGACAGTGATTAAAATCACTATTATAATAAACGCTTTGATGCAAATCTGTAGATAGTGTTTAATTTTAAAAATTGATGGATTATTCCAAAAGCTATATGATCTCTCATTTCCTTATTTATATCCCGATTACAAGTTTATGATTTATATGTGTAATATATGAAAAATAAATATCTATATATATTTATAATATATAAAAGGGAAATGGTGTTATTTAAAAAAACAGTGAAAGAATGAAAGAGGTGTATAAATATTATTTCTCATAAAAAATTGTATTGATCCATACACTTTTCAATAAGTTATACTATTGTAAAGTTAAAAATGTAAAATATAAAATCGAGAATTTTCACACATAAAAAGCATTTGGTAACTATTTTCACCGTGAAGACAAAATAAAGTCCAAACATTTTTTTTCCATAAAGCAAATTACATTATCTTTAATTTAAGATATGTATAAAAGTGTCAGAGTATCTGGAACACTTTAAAATTTAAGTTGAAAAAGTTGTCATCTTAAATCCCCCCCTGTGGGCAGGTATCTATAAAAAAAAATTGTATTGATATAATCATTATTGAAAAAGTTATGGAAGTTTTTAGTAAAAAAAATTGAAAAAAATTCGAAATTTAGCGATTTTTAAATTTGTAATCTTTTACAAACGAGGAAAAATTTTTCAATTTTTGAGGGTAATGTTTTCGACTAGAGACGATTTGTGATCTTTTGACGTATCGTTGAAAGAAATCGGTTCGGTGGGAGCTGAGAAAAAGTGGTAACAGACACAAAAAAAGAAAAAATAATTAATAAAAAAAAAAAAAACGTAGTACAATTAATACCTTCTCAGCTTCGCATCGAAGCTAAAATAATTGAATAAATACAAATGTTTGTTTTTGTATTAACAATTTTATTATAACAAAATAACTTTTAATCCAGATTTTTTCTAATAAATGTAATATCTCACTCTCAACTTTAATCAAGCACAACAAATAAATTAGGTAAATTGTTCACATAATTATATAAAAATTTGTATTAGTATTAAATCAAAATAATTTTTCTAGTACATTTATTTTGTATAATCTTTTAATAACTTTTTCCTAAATAGACTGTAGTCATTTTTCATCAATTCATATGCACTTTGACGTAACTTTTCTACTCTTGCCAATATTTTTTTTGTTGAACTATTTTTTGTTTCTTCTAATCGTCTTAATTGATGCTCGGTTAGACCTTCTATTTCTTTAGCAAACTCAACTATGGCATCATAATCTGTCTTAATTTTAAGAGATTCACTAAACAAAAACAGTCTTACATAATAATACAGCAATTCTCTTAACAATATAAGCTCTGTGCTTAAGATTTTTTTCGGAATTGTATTTAAGAGAGAATGATTCATCCTTAAAATTATATTAATCCATGTTTTGTAGAACAAGTATTTAAATAATTTCTCTATATACATTTTAGACCAGTTTTAAGCAAATATCTTCATAATGAATCTGGTAATAGAATAAATTTAATCACCCTTACACCGAGAAAATGTCTGAATAAAGACCTAATTTTATTTATTTGTGAATATGAAAATAATTATTTATTGGACCCAAAATATACTCTATCAGTATAATACTCAGTGATTTCACGTACTTTTTTTAAATACTTAGTCAAAATTTAAAATTATAACGTTTTTAATATAAATTTAAATTTAAAAAAAAAATAGATAGTTCATGTAAGAGATGAATTTTTGAATATACTGTCGTAAGCACAACTCTAAAATTAAATTTAATAACTTACTTATCGATTTTTTTATTATGCACGTAATGTAATAAACAATCACACATTTTCCATAACTCCAGAATTTCAGCCGAATCCAATTTACATTGCTTTAAATAAGTTTGAAACATTGTCAAGGCTGTTTGATTTGCCAATACGTGTTTTAAACTATTTGTCCATCTATCTAAGTCTTCTTTAGAAATGGAATTACAATCTCCGCATGGCATACAACTCATTATGAAACTGCTCCAAGTATAATTATTCTAAAACATTATAATTTTTTAAATTATTTGTTAAATATATTGTCATTTTTATTTAAAATATATTATAATAAGTTGGTAAAATAGGTAACTAATGTGACTATCTACGTATTAACAGATTTGTCACTAATTTTTCTTGGAAGATTAATCTAAAATTATCCGTAGTTTATAAATAACTGCTTTAATTTCATTTACAAATAAATTTTAGTCTAGGTTAATTTTACTAAAATTGATTGTAGTCTTGCGAAAAAATATTTTATTAATTTACTATTATCATTATATTTTTTCTATAAACTTAAAATTAGTCAACCAACTATGAAAAGTAATTGATGTAGTCATTAATGAATTTTTTACACGGATGTCTATTAGATATAAAAAAAAAAAATAACGGCTTTTAGATTCGTTAAAAGTAAACATAAATTGTATTCAACTACTAAGCGTGCAGCCTGTATACGGATAGTGCCCTGCCCCTATCACCAAACATTTATAAATATTGCCCTTCCCGCCAATGTATGTTAATATCTGTGTACGTTGTAAATTCAGCACATACAGTTTTGCGGCATTTCTCAAATTAGTAGAACCCTAAGGAATAATTCTAAATAGAATGAAATAAGTGCATGAAAATTTGTTTGATGAATGAAGGAAAAAAATAATAGTGAACTAATTGATGTAACATTACTTCTTAATTACACCCCCTTAAAATATTACCAAAAAAATATATATACTCTATATTTAGCACAATATTATTGAGCTAAAAATATACAGTTAAAATGAATATTTATGTAATGGTAATATGTACTTAGCTTTTGATTCAAAATATCAGATATAAAGACACAGATTAGAATAATTATAGACTGTAGGCTACGTATTATTACAGTATACCACATAAACAATTCAGGAATTATTTATATTTGCTTATTTAATGACTGAATATTATACCTTATTACATTATAATTTAGTCTATAAAAATAATCATAAAAATTTATCTGCTTGCGTGACAAACCACTCCACTCAGTTTCACTGTTTTTAAGTCCAGTGTGTCTTAGATCCAGGTAGCTTTTATGAAAGAAAGGTGGTGACTAATTTAGAGTTTTTAAACTCTAAAATTAAGTAATTTTAAAAATTTCATTAACACACTAATATTTGACCGAAGAAGAAGGTGGTGATAACCATCCACCTCTTCTGAATCTAAACCAAGTTGTAAATTATTTAAAATATAATGATTCAGAATATAATATACTAATATTTTATACTCCGTTGAATGTAAACTTTTAGTAATGAGTAAAAATTTATCATTTATATCTTAGATATATCTGTTAAAACTTATACAAATATATAATAAAACTTTTCGAACCCCTGAAAATGTGTAATATTGTAATTAAGCATTGTTTCATGAATTTACACATCACTCTAATTTCGGACCGGTTGTCTTTTTGTTTAGTCATTCCGTTGTCTTTCTTCAACGTGAAGAAATTTATTATTCTCTTCACGGTTCAGAGCTCACTGGTTTTTTTAACAGACATCAAGCACTTTTAGTATGAGTTGAGATGGCTGAAAACTATTATTGCCTAGATAATAGTTTAAAAAATGATCTAGCTAAGCCTGCTAGGTGTATAGTCACGATTTGTATTCAAGATTTTCAAACACATTAAAACGGAAAATAGTATCACGTCTTTCGTGTGTTACGAATCACTAAAACTCCAGAGGTATGGTCCTTTATCCGAGACAAAAACTAGTCTACAATACTTGTAAGAAATAGGTTTTGAAAATGAAAAAGTTCATTAAAAAGTATTAAATAACTTTTCATTACTCTATTACAGTCCATTAAAAGATAAATAGGTACACAATGTTATGTAACGGGGTACAATTACAATGGTCATATTAGTTTTCTGTTATAATTATCACACACCTGCTCCATTTATTTGAACATCATTCCTTATTATATATGCAATATTTTTGTATGACGTATTGAAATTCGTAAATTAATTCTATTTATTCAACAAGTGCCAATATTAATTTTTCTATGTAATTTAGAATTTATCATAAAATAAGAATATATAGTGTTCAATAAGTAAGGAAACAAGTTTTTATTGTTATCATTGTTTATAAAAATTTACCTATTTCCTTTCTTACTCAACATTCTGTATAAAAATAAAAATTTTTATCATCAAAACTAATATATTTCGGTTTTGCGTAAAAGTAAACAAATTCATTTTAATGTTAACGTTATTAGATAAAAGATATCAGTCATTGTTTTTGCTTTTAAAAAGTTTTTAATTTTTAATTCTTCTAATAAATTAATAATTTATAACCCAATATTATTAAAGACTATCATTACAAGTGTCAGGAGGTTTTTGATGTAAAATTATTTGTTTATTCGACAGTACACCTCTACTCAGCTCGCTCAATTTATTATGCTTTTGACTTTAAACATATGTAGATAATTAAAGTACAGTATTGCATCTTTAAAACTAGGGTTCGTATACAAATAATGATCTCGGTCTTACTAGAGATTTAAAAATAGTAGGCCGCTAAATGTATGAAGATCCGAAACCCGTGTGCCTTGTATATTTCTTGAGGCACTTTATAGACAATTGTAATCTGTAATATGTTTCTGTTCATTATAAAACATGACAGATCATAAACATATAAATGAATATAATTTCATTTTTATGTTTCTGATACAGATTTACTGTTTTTTTTAATAAATGATAAGCTAAAGAAAATATTCGTGTATAGCCAAAGTTATAAAGTTTCTTAATATTTTTGTAAACAAAAATATATTTGGGAAAGGAAGACAAATAAAATTTTTCGCAGAGACGAAAAATTTGAGAATAAGAGATTAATTAAAGCATTACGTATAAAATACGTAATGCTTTAAATAGATTTTTAATGACAAGTAAATGGTAAATTATTAGTTTCAATACTCAAAAATGTAAACTAGTTATACATCTTATAATTTTATTAAATTATTCTTGATGAATTTTATAATTAATAACTCGCACTATAATTTTAGAGTCCTAATTTTAATAACCTATAAAAACAAAAAATCTATTTTTACCATCAAATTTCAATTTGAAACTATTAAGAAGTATCACAGTAACCACATTGATATTTTAATGATAATGTTAACTAACTCGTTTTTATTTATTTTGTTTTCTTGAGCACAATTCAAGGGATTGATATAATTGTAAAAAAATTTTAAGACACATTTTTTAAACAAAATTAGAAGACAATCAATAATACTTTCATTTTAATCCAGATGAAATTAAAATAAAATTGAGCTAAATTTTAAAAGAAAAAGAGTCGACTAAATTTTATTATCAGTCTTTCGTTCATAGTAGCAACTGTAAGACAATTTGATCTGTTAATAAAATGATAATTTTAGTAATTCAATATTAGGAAATTGATAAAAAATACTAGATGAATGTTGTTCAAACTGTTGTTAAAAAACACTAACTTTTTTAATGAAACATAAGTTAAAATACTAATCATATCTATGTAGGTAAAAATCCCAAAGGTTCTATGGAATGTAGTGTATACTCACTAATTGTTAATACATGTTAGTAATCAAAAAATCCTTGATAAAATGGCGACTAACAACTTGTGAATTTGTGAAATAGAATAAATGTACCCTGGTTAACGGACATTGTCCGAAACAACACTTGACCGTACGCACACTACATTAGTACTGTAGAATATATTTGACTACGCTACGATTCGCTAGTAAAAAACACTATGAAAATACACGGAAAGCAAAAATAGCTACAACACGTCTGCCGCACATGGTGACGAAACGGCGGCAGCTGGAAGAAGAAAAAACAAGCCGTAGAAAACACCGGGAGGGCGAAAACAGCTGTTTACAGAATGGTGCTTTTGAAATCGGTCGATATTCATAATTTTATACATATTATATATTCAACTTAAATGTGCATATCAATAACAGTAGCCTATTTTAATATGATATTTTAACTTCAAAAAAGTTTAGGGTGGTATCGTTATTTAATATTTGTAAAAATTCTTATATTAAAGGCAATATGTTATTTAATAACGTATTGAATTGTAATTTGATATTTTGAAATTAAATAATATCAATTATTTTTTTTTGTTTATTTTTTTATTAAAAAATAATTTTATAAAATTAATTGCGGATTAAGAAATAGTAGTTATTGTTATATTTGTATTACCAATAAAATATAATTTTCTGACCCACTTACTATGGTCACTATTCTAAGTTATTTTTGCATTAGAACTTTATTCCAGAATATACTTATTAGTGAGGTTACAGAATCGCACTAAACATGATTCGACTAAGAGATATTAAATTTTGTTTACGCGACAACGATTTTCCCTAAAATTTTTGAAAACTATCTTTTTTATGTAAACGCTTTGATTATTGAATACAAATCGCTAATTAATCCTATTAACATTACAGGATAAGTTAAAATATACATACTCCCAAAGTCATTTCTAAAGGGAACGAATTAACAAGTGCAATACTGATGTGAAAATGTGTGTAATTTTTTTCTTTTATAATCAACTTAACAAGAGTCAAACATTTTCATAGTAGCATATCGATTTAAACATTTTTTATTCTGTCGATTATGAATTTCTAAATAGGCCCCTACATAAACTTTATGTAAAGTTTTAAATTCAATTTTTATCCTAATTCACCGAGCTGTATTAAGGAGAAGGAGCAACAGGCGTAAAGTGCTCTAGGGCGCCAAGAAAAATTTGAATATATTTTTTTGTATAATTTGTATTTTATTTAAAAATATATTAAATAGAGATCTCAAATATATGATTACCCTAAAGTACCAATGTAATTTAGTATGGTATTGCTAACTAATATATGAATTTTGTTCTTAATAACTAATAATTAAATAATATATATGATACTCTGTATACTTTTCTCTTTACCTAAATTTACCACGCTTTTTTTAAGAATCAAAAACGATTTTCACTGTTTTAAGAATGGTCGATCAATACTTATTTTTTAAGATTTAACAGTTGATTACCAGTTATAAGTGGATAAAAATAACAAAGGGCAGTCAACTCGTTAAATTTTTGAATTCGCAAAAATAAACTTATTTTAAGCAACCTAATAATGTATAAATTAATGTTTTATTCAGTAATTCACTATTATAATTTACAATAGTGTGTGGTAGTATCGTACCCAAGACTTTTCAATTAAAAGTAAATTTTTTTACTTTGGCGACTATTATTGTTTAAGTGCTTTAAATATTGGCTAAAAGGATTATATCATAGCCCACGAGGTCAGTAAGGAATTGTTGAAATTTGCAATAAAAATCTATGATTGTGGGGTAGGTTTTTTATTAGAAAGGTAAGAGTGTCACCTCACTATTAAAAAAAGGCTGACTCCAAACTTTCAATAGACTGGCTCTAATTTAAATAATTAAACATATGTTTGTATATTACACTTTCTTTAAAATGTGTTTTTGTAATAAATACAAATTATTAAAATAAAAGGTTTCATATAAAATAATTTTCCTTGACATATAGTGAGTTTCACCATATTTTGACAAATATAATAATTTGTAATAATAATACCAATGAATATTTTGCATTAATTTTTTTAATAATTTTTATAGTTTGAACTATGTTAAAAAACTATTATTTGTCTATAATAAGAAAAAAATAAAAAATAAAAAATTTTTTAGAAATATCAAAATTTATATTTTTTAACATCTTTTACACAAAAAAGGTTTTTAGTACTTTAATTCTTATTAAGTTACGAGCATTTTGATACATCTAATCTACTCACTCTTTGTATTTTAAATAATTTCAATAGCAAAAACTAGCCTTCTTATATAATTAAAAAATATTTAAAAAAATTTAAACTGCATAATATTACATATAATAAATAATGGTGTTTTATAAATATATTACTCAAAAGCTTTGAAAAAGTTTTCTATTTTTTTATATTAAATAGATTATTTAAAAATTTAAAATAATTAAAATATCATCCCCAATATACTGTTAAATTCTCTACTAATAAATTCATAGTATCATTGCCATCATTATTATTAAATATACATTCGTCTTTAATGTACATTCACCTGTCATTAGTCATTAGGTTGTTATGTTTCTCTAATACCAATAATATACTATCATGTTTAAACGAACCATCAATAGAACGCTGTTTATAATAATTATAGACCTAATGATGCCACTATTAGAGTATCTTTTCAGTATTATGTTCCATGTAAAAAAAACATTAAACACATAAACGCAAATGATTAAACATCTAATAAGAATTCTTATAAGTAATGGTATCCGCAACAACTAAAAATCTATGTTTCATTTCCTGTTTCTAATCCCACGACCTATGTGATCCTTAACTATTATATTTTGAGTAGTAAAACACCATAACGTTTATTTATTTTTTTATCTTATTGATCACGAAATGGGCATACATCCATTACTTATAACCAATTAAATCATGCATTTGAGCATGATGCGTCTATATACCTATTTAAAAAAATCTATTTTTAATATTTAATAACTGTATGAAAGTAAATTTTATTTCAACATTTAAATTTTTGGAAGTTAAATGGGAACCTATTATTACAGGAGATGCTCCAAATATGTAATATTTTTAACATGCATAAAACTTACACAATAAGATATAATATACTATGTTATTTTACGTTTAATAAAAATAGAGTATTGAAATAATCATAGTATATGATTTCAAAAATATTTGTATTATGTCCATAGAAACCATTAGATAGATAAATATTTCATAAAATGACATATGGGACTATAGCATCCATAGAAGAATTTTTTAAGATACGTCTATTTAAAACTGGCTATCAATCAGTAAAAATTGTATTTAATCCATTCTTCATTAAATTTATAATAGTTTTCCATTTAACTTCCGATGTTAACTCAAAAATCTACCACAGAAAAAGTTTCTTTTTGCAATAAACTTGATATTATCATGGTTCATGAAAAAATTAATAAATTTTATAAAAAAATCACTGTTTTATTAAAAATTTGGGAATAGTATTTTAAATAAATCATACTATAAATTTTTAGTAAAATTATTTATATATATTTATAAAATAAAAATAAAACGAGATGACCTAAAACACGAACCTCCAGCTACTGACGAGAACTTTTCTTAGCTACTTCTATTACTCTACTTTTCATCTCCTCATCCCTACACCATTCCTTGTACTAGACTTACCTGAGTATATTATTTTATAACCCTCACCTGTTTCCCTTGATTTCTCTCCTTTCCACTTAGTTTGCTGCACACAACAAATGTTAACATTTTTTCTCTTCAATACTTCAACTAATTCTCTACTTCTACCAGTTAATGTTCCAACATTCCAAGTACCTATTCTTACTTTGTATCTATCTTTCTTCCTTATACACGAGTCCAGCCTAGAGTTAAGTGGTGATGTCCCTACACTTTTAACACTACAAGAGTTGAGTAGACCTGTACACATGACTGGTGAAACAGCTACCGCACAAGTTGTCTGGCTGGTATCAAACATTTTAATCCTCAGGCCTTCTCCGTTTTTAACTACTTTCTGTTCTCCCCGCGTACATCCGAGATGAGACAATCCGCCTAAGTTTTGTTCAGGATTCATCATGCTTTTATAACTAAGCAAGCGTGCGCTCCACCCGCAGAATTTTTGACGATGCCCCTTTACTAAATTTTACTGTGCTTTCAATCATGTTAATTATTATCATAAGGATTGCAAAGCCCTCTCGTTTGACTTCCTATGAACTAATATAGGGAATTTCCTTTGTCTGGTCATTCCACTCGTAAAAGCGGTACTGAGCATTCGTAATTTGGCGCCCATGACTTGCTGGCGCCCCCCACATTGCGTTTAAATTGCAATAAATTGCATTTGTAAAATGTATTTTATTACATAGATGTTGTTTATCTGTTTTTGTTTTTGTCATGTTGTCGTTGACAACTGTCAGTTAGTTGTTTACATCCGGTTTTTATTGTTTACGGCATTCTTGGCATTTAGCTCTACCTTTACTACACCGGCAATTTTCTGTTATGTTAATTGTAGTTTTTTTACACATTAAGTTATTTTCTTTGTTGTTGATAGGTAACTATGTCTGGCTAATAGTCCATCGAAAAATGTCCAAAAAATTACAACAGAGTAAATGAATGGGAAAAACTAAATGACATAAATGCCGTAAATAACAACAAAAACCGGATATAAACAACTAACTGACAGTTGTCAACAACAACACGACAACAACAACAACAGATAAACAACATCGATGTTATCAGTTATCAACTGATATAAATACATACCGTAAACAAACTAAGCCGACATTATAATTACAACCACGAGTCTGTAACTATCGCTCTGAAGATAGTTGCAAAAAATCCGTCTGACATACGATCAAATGTTTAGGAGGCTAAAAATTTTAATTTGGCTTATAAAGAGAGCTTAAATGTAGAAAAAATACATGTAAAATAATTAAAAAGAAATTAAAGAAAAATTAAAACTCTTCAAATAAGCGTTTTAAACTATCAAATATTTTAATGCGACTAAATAGTTTATTTTAAGTATACACAATCAAATATTTAAAAAGAAACTACATTTATATTTAAAACATGTGAAAATATCATGTTTCTTTCATTTAATTCAATAAAAAAATAGTGCAATATCAAAACGTAGTTTTTTTTCTCTCCAATGGCAATTTTTAAAAAAAAAAACTCCGATTATCCGAATATTTGATTATCCGAATGGGTCCCGGTCCCCATTAATTCGGATAATTGGAGTTCTACTGTATTTGAATTCGATAGTTGCTATTTAACCATTTACGATGTAAGAAGCCAGAGAGGCGCCGATTGTGACACGGATCACTATTTAGTGATTGCAAAACTTAGATCAAAGTTAAAAAGCCAATTGAAATTAAAGCAAGCAAAAAGGATCAAAATTAATCTAGAGTTACTCAAAGATGAAATTGTGAAGAAGAATTATGAGAACGAAGTCACGAAGAACCTTAAAGAGAATAATGCACAAATGAACATAGATCTGGATTGGGAAATAGTGAAAAACGCTGTTAACAAAGCAGCGGCCACTAGTATTGGTGAGCTAAAAAGGTCAAGAAATACTTGGTATAATGATATTTGTAGAGTTGCTGTAGACAGACGCCGAAAATCGAGAAATGAATTTATTAAAAACAACACTCAAATGACTAAAGAAAGTTTTATACGGGAACGTAAAGCCTGCAAAAGCACCCTTCAAAGGGAAAAAAGGAAATTTTTTAGCAACATACTTCAAACAGCAGAGAACGACCATACACAAGGGAGAACTAGAAACTTTTTTAGAGTCATTAAACAGTATAAGTATTTTAACCCTATATGGAATGCAATCAGAGACCAAGACGGACAAATGCTAATGGAACCAGAATCAAGAGCTGAGAGATGGAAAGATTTTGAAAATTTACTAAATGGGAGAATGCCAGATCAGCCTGTAGCTCATATCGATTATGAAAGAGTGGAGACCTATGTCGAGGATGTTAGCCTAGAAGAAGTAAAAAGTGTATTATTTGGCCTGAAAAATTGGAAAGCACCGGGTACCGACAATATTCCAGCAGAACTCTTAAAATACGGAGGTGAGGAGCTACATTTAGTAATCCACAGACTGTGTCACCTAATATGGATGGAAGAACGAGTACCGGATAGCTGGAATGAGGCAATCATCATACCATTGCATAAAAAAGGAGACAAGACAAAGTGTGACAATTATAGAGGGATATCGCTCTTAAACTCCGCGTACAAGGTTTTCTCTAGGATATTACTGAATCGCATTATCCCTTATGCGGAGGATTGCCTAGGTGAGTACCAATGTGGTTTTCGGAAAGGTCGTTCAACCACAGAACAATTATCCATAATAGGTCAAATAATTGAAAAGAGATACGAATATCGGCAGAATATGTGGCAACTCTTCATAGATTTTAAAAAGGCCTATGATAGTATACACAGAGAGAGTCTCTACAATATTATGGATGAGTTTGGTTTCCCAAAAAAGTTAATACCGCTAACTAAAATGTACATGGAAGACACGAGGTACAGAGTAAGAACACAGAATGTAACATCGGAAACCTTTACAGTGGAAACCGGACTAAAACAGGGGGATGCTCTTTCCCCAGTACTTTTCAATCTTGCCCTAGAGAAGGTAGTAAGATTACTACAGGACAATGAAGGTGGTTTACTAATCGGCCAGAATAAGATACGGCTCCTCGGATTCGCTGACGATTTGGATATACTTGGCGATTCGCTTGCAGACACAGCTAACGCTGCCAGAGTGCTAGAAAAAGCAGCGAAGAAAATTGGTCTTGAGATAAATACTGAGAAAACGAAGATAATGGAACTATTAGATAGTGGGGAGGACCCCAGTGAAATGGAGAATTTAGCATACGAAAAAGTTAGTGATTTTAAATATCTGGGAGCAACGTTAAGTACAAAGAATGATTGGTCAAAGGAAATAAGTATTCGGATAAATAAAGCCCAAAAAACGTTCTACACAATGATTAAATTCTTTACATCCAAAATTCTATCTAGAAAAACGAAAGCAAGATTGTACACGGCTATTATAAGACCGACTCTCACGTATGGTTGCGAAGCGTGGACCACGACCAAACAAACAGAAAGAAACCTGAGGACTTTTGAGCACAGAGTGTGGAGGAAAATATGCGGACCGGTCATCGATGAAACAACGGGAAGTTGGCGGAGAAGGTACAACAGTGAACTATATGACATGTTGAAAATAGCACCGGTAACAAGTTTTATTAAGGGCCAAAGAATACAATGTTTAGGACACATAGCGAGAAGAAGAGAGAACGAGATAGCCAGGGTAGCTTTGGAATGGAAACCACAAGGGAAAAGACCTAGAGGGAGGCCGAAGAAAAGATGGATCGACGTGGTAGAAGAAGATTTAAGAATCCTTGGAGTTGAAGACTGGAGAGAGACAGCCCAAGATAGAGATAGGTGGCGAAGCGTAGTAATGGCGGCAAAAACTCTTAGAGAGTAGGAATGCCAGTAAAAGAAGAAGAAGTTACTATTTAATATTTTCTATAATTACTTCAAAGCCTGTCTATGAAAATATCTCAATGTTACTAAATTATATATTTTTTCTTTATACACAACCACTAAAATATTTTACTAATACAAAAATAATTTTTTGAATTTAAGGAGTCGATCCCAGGCTAGCAATAATTTGTCATGCACGCGGGTCATTTATGCCTGTTAATTACGTGTATACTTGTGTACGAGTCCCGAAAAGGTACATTAATATAATAGAAGATATGTATGATGGCACTTGTACCAGAGTAAAAAGCGTAGGAGGAGTATCAGAAGGTTTTCGGGTAAGAGTAGGAGTGCACCAATGTTCTTCTTTAAGTCCTTACTTATTCTCTATATTGATGGATGAAATTACTATAGAAATACAAGGAGAGGTGCCGTGGTGCATGTTGTTTGCTGACGATATAGTGTTAATAGGAGAAAATAGGGAGGAAATTAATCAAAGGCTAGAGGTGTGGAGATCAGCTCTTGAAGAAAAGTGTTTAAGAATAAGTAGAAGTAAGACAGAGTATATAGAGTACGAGTTTGACAAAGGAGAACACGAGGTAGGTGAAATGAGGAGGTCAGTGACAATAGGCGAGAACATGATTGGAGAGGTGGAGAGTTTTAAGTATGTAGGGTCAGTTGTGCAAAAGAGTGGTGGTATTGTTGAGGATGTAAGACACAGAATTAAGTTCGGGTGGTTGAAGTGGAGAAAAGCGTCTGGCGTTTTATGCGATAAAAGAATTCCAATGAGACTGAAAGGTAAATTCTACAAGACTGTAATAAGGCCAGCTATGATGTATGGTTCATAATTTTAGGCGGTTAATAAGAAAGTAGAGCAGAAAATGAGTGTAAGATGAGAGAAAGAGACTTAGATGGTTTGGTCATGTAATGAGGAAAGAACAATCGGAAGCTGCAAGAACAGTTATAGAAATGAATGTTGAAGGAAGAAGAGGTAGAGGAAGACCAAAAAAGAGATGGAGGAATTCTATTGAATGCGATATGATAACAGTTGATGTGAGCGTAGATGACGTGGGAGATCGTGTCAAGTGGAAGTTTGGGATAAGGGTGATCGATCTTAATAAGTTGGGATTGAGGCGAGGAAGAAGAAAAAGAAGAATTACGATTTAAAAAAAATTTTTATACTTTTTTTAATTGTTTAAGTAAAACATTAAGTCAGATAATATACAGGTAGTTTCAATTTGGAATTTAGTGGAAGTCAGACGACAAGGCGCAGCAGACGGGCAATAGCATTTCAGTCGTTAGTTATTATACAGTATAACTTTGGCCCCTGGAATTATTTTAAAGTTCTCGTCAGTAACTAGAGGTTCGTGTTTTAGGTCATCCCAAATAAAACAGACATTAATGCCTCTTACTCTTTTTTTTCAAAAAGATGATATAATAATCCAAATATTAAATTGTCAACACAAATGAAATATTTTACGTGTTTATGTATAACAACACTACTGATGGCAAGTTTTGTAAAAATTATTTTTTTAAATACTTCATAACGTATTGACTCCATTATACTTCTAAGTAATAATAAATATTTTAAATAAAATAAATCATATACTAATGATATATTTGAATAAATGCGATTTATTTTAAATTTTAATTGTAAAACGTTAACAGAGGCACTAATATTTATTTGTAAAATTTTCATTACGTTTAATAAGTTGAAAATTAGCTCAGGTTCTATTTAATCTACTTGTATTTACTAAAAGAATCATTTCAAATTCAATTTTTTTCATTCTTAACTTAATAAACAAGGTAGAAAAATCTAATTTGTTCTTAAAGTCTAATTTTGTTATCTCTAACTAAAATGATATCAATGATAAACACGAAATTCGATTATGTTAACATTGTCTATGGTAGCAAGCGATATTATTTAAAACTAATAAGCAATTTACATTGATAAATAGTTAATTATATTTTTATTTTTATTAGGATTATTATTGAAAAGAAATGTTGCCAAATGTAAAACATGTTATTTTAGTTATGTCAGGAAAAGGCGGAGTTGGTAAATCTACTGTTAGTACTCAGTTAGGCTTGGGACTTGTATCCAAAGGTTTTAGAGTAAGGAACTGACAACTTTGTCTTTGAAATTTTTATAAATTTAGTTTTACTATTTCAGGTAGGTATATTAGATGTTGATTTATGTGGTCCTTCAATACCATATTTATTGAAATTAGAAAACCAAGAAGTTCATCAGTGTGAATCTGGTTGGGTACCAGTATATACAAATGAATCTAAGTGTTTAGGAGTCTTATCTATTGGATTTTTAACTAAATCTAGAAATGATAGTATTGTTTGGCGTGGACCTAAAAAAACAGGTATAATTAAAATTATTTTCTGGTGTCTGATTGTTTAAGTTATTGTTTAATATTTACTAAACATTTTATTTATAAAATTTTGTTAGCATTTATTAAACAGCTCTTATCAGATGTGTATTGGGAAGATGTTGATTATTTAATCATTGATACACCACCAGGTACTTCAGATGAACACATTACTGTTATGGAAAATATCAAGTAATTATTAAGTTTTGATGAGAAATTTAATAGATTAATTACTAGATGTTTAGCTGAGCTGTTTACTGTTGGTTCTTAGATGATTGATCATATGAGAACTTTAACATTGGCGCACACCTAACCCTTTATTAGTCCCTACAATTATAGTAAGGTTGCATTAGGTTGACAACCCGTGTAAAAATCCTGTCAAATTGTGATATAGAGTCGACCTCAAAAAATTAAGTTAGAGACTTAGAAGATATGTGACTAATATTTAATACTTTTTAGAGATGTTTCATGCGATGGTGCAATCTTGGTAACAACACCTCAACAAATTGCCCTGGATGATGTACGAAAAGAGTTGACCTTTTGCCGTAAGACAAATATTCCTATTATAGGAGTCATAGAAAATATGAGTGGCTATGTTTGTCCAAACTGCTCAGTAAGATAATTTTAAATATGTTTTAATCAATTTTGTGAAATAAAATATCAATGATTTGAAAGCAAATTATTAGATCCAGTTCAAACTATTATTTTAATATTTTAACATAAATTAGTAAATTTAAAAGACTGCATAATTTTATCACTAAATTCTGTTAAAATATCATCTTTTGTTGTATTGTATTAGTTATTTTGTTGAATAGATAATCTGGTAAATTACCAATTGTTAAAGAATATAAAAACATGAATTTCAAAATAAAATGATGACAGACAGTTATTGTACAAGATCCTTTAATTGTTGTACACAATATTTTTTTCAAAATTATTTGTCATTATAAATTATTGATTTATATATAATTGATCTCACTTGAATATAGACATTATCTATATTAATAAAGATAAACAATTAAATTGAATTTGACACCTGAAAGAAATTTTATAGTATTAAATAAAGAATGGGTGTGTAATGAATTTTAGCCCACAAAGTGGTAGAACAATCAAACAGAATTCTTCATAAGAAATACTAAAACAAAGGCCTCATAAAATTTTAAAAAATATACAGTTGGTAAGATTCATTTTCTTCCTTCTTTCTGATTTCTAACTGTACAAATATAATTATTGGACTAAATTATTATACTTTTTGTATTAAAAGAGACATATTAACAAAAATTAATTTTTATGAGACTAATTTTTTTATATTACAGGAATGTACAAATTTGTTTTCATCACATGGTGGTAAGTCATTAGCTGAATATTTTCAAGTGCCATTCTTAGGAACTATACCAATTGATCCCAGAGTATCAGAGGAAACATCAAGATATGTTGGTTTAGTTTATCCAGAATCACCAATGGCAATATCATATAATGACATTGTTAGTCTAATAACAACAAATCCAAATTGATAAACCTAAACATATTATTTTGTACAATGTTTTTATTTTATTATTATGCATTAATACAACAGTTAACATTTCATTTTTCTATAAACATTTTTTTATCTGACTCATTTTTGTGTTCCTGATCTAAAAGTTCTGACAATGGTTCAACATTTCCAAGAGGGGATTTACTCATGAACAATATTGGTAATTTAGAAAGTCTAGGATTGCCATCTTGTTCTAGAAATCTAATCTATAAACAAAATTTAACAAATAATCAATCATAATAAAAATAATAATAAACAATGATCAAATAATGTATTGATAAAAATTTTTCGTACCCAAGAAAGTAAAGAATTTTTACTAGAAGTGCCAGTTGCACAAACAGCTAATATAGTTCCATCTTCTTGTTCATGAACAGTTTGTTTCACCACAACTTTATCAGATGTATTAATAGGTTTATCAAAAAATGGCACTTTAAAATTACTTACATCTGAAATTAGTCATAAATTCAAATTATATTTATATGTTGGCGCATGAAAAAACTTATTACATTTAAGTCGTTATTTACCATCTTCATCAACAACTTGCTTAGGTTTTATTGGTGGCTCAGTTCTTAGAATGAAATACAGAATGTTTTGTTTCCTTAGCCATAGTCTAAAACCTCCTTCTATGTAAATTGGAACATTTTCAGACTGATTCGCAATTAATTTTTTTTGGTCTGCACTTTGTCCACTAACAATCCAAGTATCTTCAAAATTTTCTTCTAAATTTTTGGTGTTATAGACCTTAACTTCAGACTCTACATCTACACTACAAATTCTTTTCACAGCCAATAATGCCAATTCATAAGGGTCATTTGGTGCTGGCTTAGGAATTGGCCATGGTGATAAGTTATTAAATTTTGGCATCCAATACATCATTCGCCAATAACGTCTCACTGGAAAACCACGAGGACCAAATCTTTTAATTAGCATATCTTCCATTTCCCAATCTGGTATCACACCTATATTTAAAAATATTATCTCAATATAATTATGAAAAATTAGCAAATAATAATTATACCATTATCTTCCATTTTTTGCAATAAATCAATGATACATTGTTGATGTTTTGGGTAATGCATAAATTCTGATTGCAGATAATTTTGAGGCACAAATTTACCAGCGGGTAATACTTGAATTAATTTTTTATAGGTTTCAATATCTTCAGCTACCCCAAACTCTTCCATATGTTTTATTGCTGTATTAATAAATTCTACATGTCCACTGCGGTATCTTTCCATTTGATACATTCTCAGCATATCCAAATATGTACTTTTTGTCTTCTCTTTAACATTATTAAAACTATCAGCACTTACTACATCGGTTTTTTGGGACTTATCGCGAAATAGTGTAGATGAATGAATTTCTTTTTTAGTTTTAATTATTGGTCTTGTATATATATTCATAAGTTTTTGAATAACTGTAAGATCTTTAAAGGTTCTTAATACACTACACATGTTTAAAAATCTAAGTTGTTACAACATTGAAAAAAATACAGTTTCTTAAAAATTTTATTATTTTTGAACTTAATACAAAAAAAAAGAGTGTTTAACATTTTTTTACCTACTCTTATCAAATTTCAAGATAATCATATCTGAAAATACCGGTTATCTCTGAACAGCTTATGTAAATTTTTAAGAGTTTTTAAGCTGTTATTTTTATGAGTTATCAATTTAACAAGTAAATAATCATTCGCGATCTAGTGAACAATATTTTAAACCTTATCATTTTTTAAATTAATTCAAACGAATTACAAGCAATAATTTTGGATAGAAATAGCATTGGAACAAAAGATATTGTTTTTCTTTATTTTGTAAACCTGATAATTTAAACAATTAACCATGTACCTATTAATTGGTCATATCATTATTTATATAGTAAATTTCATTTAAATAATTTGAATGTACACTTCACTAGGCTTTATTGGAAAAAAATAAACAAACGTAAATTTTTTAAAATTTTTTTAAAACAAAAAAAAATTATATTTTCACATCTCAATAATTTGTTTTCTTGGGGGTTCTATCATTTTCTTAACCTGTGATAGTGATAAAAGAACGGGCTTAATTTATAATTATAACACATTCTTTTATTTCGTTCTACCAAATTATGTTTGAGTTAAAGTTTAGCTATCGAATCCATATATTTAAGGGTTCCACTTCGAATTTTAGCCTATAATCATGATATATTTTAAACAAAGATGTTTTTTTTCGCTCATCACTTTTTTCTGACTGGACTGTTTATATATACATATTGCCTTCCTCATAACTGTAGTTATTAATATGGTCCTCTACATAATAGATGTATCTGGGAGACTTAAAAGGACAAATTTTGTTACAAAAAATTATGTTTATTGAAGTGAAGATAAATTAACGCACATGAAAGTTTTTTAGTTAAATTTTAATATTTATAATTCTACCATTTTATATGGAAAAATTAAAAAATGGGATGTTTAATCACTGGAATACACTTGATGTTATTAAATTATAAAAAACACAAATAATAAATTTTAAGAGTGTCAAGCGAGTGAGATTATTTTATAAATGTTAATTAGGAGGCACTTAGTCAATAACTTACTCTCATAATATTTAAAAATATATATTTATATTGTATATAAATATAGTTTTCCCTTGTAAAAAAAAACCAGTTAAGCTCCTTTTTTATTTTATTTTAAATTTATGTCTATTCTTAATCCATAGATATGGTGACTTATGACTTGGTCATTTCCCCCGGGAAGAATCATAGGTGCCACCTGTTAAATAGTTTGGTTATTTTGCTTATGTTTTATTTTGGATAAAACCACCATAAATGCAAATATGCATCCCTGTGGAACACATGGCATGTGTCCAACTCTGCATAGTTACTTGTTATTTTTTTATATTTTTATAGATGACATTTTTGGAATAAAACGTACTAAACAAGATCATTATCAATAGAAATAGAAATAAGGTGAAACATTTAAATTTATTCACATCCTGTCTTTTAAAAGAAATGTAACTATTGTTTTTGACTTTCATGTAAAAGGAATGTGATTAACAATATGTTTGATCGAATGAACATATCATTGAAAAATGTATGCTCTTCTTTTCACTAATATCCTAAACTAATTTTTTTTCAGAGTTCTAAAAAATTTTTGCCGATTTATTCATAACGAAAACAAATAATCTTCAATGTGATCAAGTCAGCACAGCACAACACTGGGTGGCGGGAGTAGCAGTACAGCAAAATAAGATACCACATGGACGTTGCGCAGTAGACACCCGTTGGTAAAATAACACTGAACGCGCACATTGAAACATACCCGCACGAGGGGCACGAGTTGACAACGGTCTCTGGCACAGCCGCCGTATTGTTTGCGTGTACCTACTCGGATCGGTCGTTAGTGTACTACCGTTACCAGGGAATGGGTTTCGACGGATCTTGGATCAGTGTTCTCAGTATCGCACACGCGATAGGTATACCTTTGCTATCTTAGACTATTCTATTAATAAAAAAAAAACTTAGAACAATTTTCATGAAGAATTAATTTGATTAAGACAGCAGTAATGGCCTTTGAGTTTTGCGCATGACCACGTTGCAATCGCCGCCAAACATAGTCGACGACGAGAGATAACTGGAGTCATGCTTCCATAAAACTTGGCAGTCACTACAACAAACGTCGTGATCTTTTATTTTGTTTGTGAGGTATGAAAAGCACGACTATTTACACATGTACAATTAAATCTATTATATTTTGACTGAAATACATCCATTTGCTCTATATTTTTCTGATAAAAGTGAAGTCTATCGTTATTACATAATTTTTGTAAAGCCATCTTGAAATCTATAAACATAAGTTATATTATTTGATTACTACACTGTAGGTGGTTTAGGTTAATATTAGATAATTGTTAATTAATTTCTTTTAGTCAGACAATTATTTCCATTTTCCTAATACTTCAAATACTTATTTTATCTTATTTTTTTATATTTTATTTCTTCGATTTGCTCTATATTCATTCAATTCATCTATATAATATCAATTAATCAATATAAATTTTTTATCGCTAAGTAGTACTTTTTAAAAGTTGCACTAAAAGTAGAAAGTAAATTATGATTATCTCTACAAATAACCACTATATTATTTATCAATAAAAATATTTGCCATAATATAAAATTAAATATATATTATAAAAGTTAACTTTTTATAATCTCTTAGATGATCGTATTTTCTTTGTATTTAACATTTTTAATTAATTATTAAACTTTATAATTTCATATTTGTTTAAAACATGCTAGGCAAAAATGTTTTTCTAGAAATACGGTATACGTGTTAAAATATACGACCGGTTTTTGTGGCTCATTCAACGTTCATTTACGTCTTTGAAATTCGTGTCGTTATTATATTATTGATATAATTTTAATATAATAAATGTATAAAAATCTTACGAGATGAGAATGTATTGATATTAGTTCAAATTATCAAATTTTATAGACACATTTTTCTGTATTTATTAGCAACTTTTAAAGCACCAATTAAAATAAAGTTGACTGTATCAATAAAAAAACAAATTTTATTTGCATAGATTTATGTGTTTAATTAAAATAAACATTATTAGTACAATTAATTGTACCTGTTAACAGTCATTAATTATTATGGGGGATGAGATCTTAATTTTTAAATACAATTATATCATAGGAGGAAAAAATTGTATAGCATGATATTTTTTGTGAAGTAAATAAGTTGAGCATAGCTGTACAAATTATCAAAATTTTGAGTATTTTAGTCCACAATCTTAACTTATATAACAATAAAATTGTTATTTGTGTTAGTCAATTTAATAATTTAACTTGGTAAAAATTACAATTCATAATTTTTACCAACCCGATTTTAATTATGATTGTATGGGATCGATCACTGGCAGATATAGATGGGGGTTTAGCTCATACAAATTTATAAAATTATATTTTATAAAAAAAAAATGTCTAGGTGGATGATAAATATTAATTTATTTCATGAACTTTCCATAATTTTAACTCTATTTCCGCCATTGCAATGATTTGATAGTAAGGTAAAAAAACTATCTCCTATAAAATTATTCAGAACTATAACAAGTTAATAACAGAATATTTTAGTTTTATATAATTATTTCACTAATATATTTGCTACGATTTATAATATTTAATCGATGACCAAAGCACAAAAAAGGTAAGTGACATTATTGGCGAAATTAAATTAAGGCATGAATGATCAACAATAACTATTAAATTTTGAAGTATACACTATTTTATAGTATTTCATAATTTAGAATTTAAAGATATTCTTTTGAAGATTAGGTATATTTTAAGTTTGAAAGCTCATTGGATTTATCTCAACATAAAAACTTTCAAACAGAACTTTATGTATTATAAATAAACCCCAAATCAATTTAATTAGTAAATGACCATCCGGAGTAATATTTTATCCTTTTGGTAAAAATGTCCAAACAAACTATGGAATACTTGATAATTGAAAGAGTCGTTACTTAGTCCAAAATTAGTGTGCAAGTTTAAAATTTTGATTATCGAAAATTGTTTTCATAATAATTGCGTAATAGTTTTCTGATTAAAACACTTATTGTCATCTAGTTACACAATCAAAAGTTTTAAAATAATATGTATTTATGTATAAACACCTTAAAATAAGCATCAAAATAAACTATTAAAATCAGTGAAATACGCACAAAATCTATATTTTTTACTTAAATATATAGATAAATGTAAATATTACATGGATAATATTTCAAATGGTCTTTATACTAACTATAGGTTTAATACCTATACTTCATTTCGAACAAAAAAATTACCACGTGGACAGCATAAATTTTTACTAGCTTTATTAACTTATGTTAAAAAATTATTATTTGTATATAAAGTAACAATTAACTTATATGAGTTAATTTTATAACTTTGTAACTTCTAACATAACTTGATTTTTAAAAAAATTTTAAACTTCATAAATCAGATTTACCAATCCTTGTTTTTTTAATGTAAAAATTTAATTGAATTTTATTTAATAGAAAACTGATAGTTGGTCAAAGCTGGATAAAATTATTTTTTTCAATATTTAACCGGTCAAAATTTAGTTAATTGACCGCAAGGGATTTATTTTTTTGGCTAAAAGTTAACCTTTAAACTCAAAAGGTATTGTTTGTAGTAAAAAATGTAATATAATCATGGTAAAAACTATTTCAATAATGAAGAGGGCGAATATGACTTTGAAATGTAGAATTTAATAAAAAATCTATCAACCAAACATTTTTTAAAGTGAATTGTCTAATTTTCTTATAGAATTAAGTGACGATATAAAGTGATTAAATAAAGTAACGAGTTGGAAATTTTAATTTTGATTAAAGTACCCTAAAAGTTACATTGTTCTAAAACGAAGTCTAACAAAAAAACAAAAATTTATAATATTTGTTTAAAAAAAGAATTTTTTTTTAGTTTAAAATTTTCTCTAATTCTAAAGCAATGATATACATATACATGTATATAGAGTGTTCAGTAAGTATTCATTTTCTGACACAAAATGTTTTTATTGATTTTATAGAAACTATTCTCTATAATTAAAATAAATCAACGATATGCCAATTATGGCTATACACCCAAAATATGTAATAACATGCAAAATAATACTTCACAGATTTATTACTGTTATTACGAAAAGAATTTGTACCTCATTTAGCATGTTCTCGCATGTAGCTAAAAAAACATGCAAATGCATGAACACATTAGTCCTAGTTATCAATCTTTAAATTAATAAATTTATATTTTATAGTTTAGTTACAAAAATTGAAAGTAATCTGTAGGTAATTTTGCATTTTTTTTTTTTCAGTTTTATTTTACTCTAAGTAAATCTACTAAACTCTAAGTTTATTGAATTCGATTATCTAATGGAATGATAAAGTAAAAAAAAGGACTTCTATTGTTCCATTGTTCCTAGCGATTGACTTGTTTCCTTACATTTTGAACGCACTTATTAAAAAAAAAAAAGAATAGGTAAAGCGAAATAGTAGAATAATTTTTGAAGTTACATATTTTTCGTGACAATTTAAAAATGGTATCAAAAGCAAATTTTATCAATTTTGAATGAAAGTTTTTTATGATGAATGTAGAATCACTAAAAACTTTATGAAATAACAATATGATATCAGTAAAATGAAAATGAGTTATGCAGAATAATGACCTCTTATTTTCAGTTATTTATAAATTAGCTAAAAAAATAAAATGTACATAATAACATACATCTTTATTCATAAAAGATGCGCATTGTTTCTTTAATCAATAATTCAATGACTGATTATTTTTTATTAATTATTTTATTGTCTTACATATTTTCTGCCAAATTGTTGTAAAATATTTTTTAAGTTTAAATTGAAAAATATTTACTTTCATAATTAATTTTGGCATTTTATAATTATTCATAAAATATATTCTTTGATTCACTAAAATTGATTTTGCTAATTAAATTTGTACCTACTTTTTTTAAGTAAAGTGAGATATTGTCAAAATGTAATAAGAAACGGAAATGTCGCTTTGAAATCTATATATTTAATAAAGAGTTAATTTAATTATTTTAAACAAAAAAAAAAAGTTAGCATTTGTCATTTTATAATTTTTTACTTATGTGTTTTACACAGTAATCTTATTTTTTTCGGTAAATCTATTTAGCAAAAACTACAAATTGCTATTAAATCATATGAATGTACATATTCATACAATATAACACCACTATAGTGTCATACGAAAATGTAGTAAACAAATTTATAAAAATAAACTTATTGAAGTATAAATAATTATTTTAAAAGATAATTATTATTTTTGTAAAAATGACATTTATTGTGTTTTAAATTACCAAGGTTATTAATTGAATAATAGTAAATATTTAACAAAGTAAACAAATAAGAATAATGACAATATAGATTTTCTTTTATTAATATATAATCTGAATAAATATTATAACAAATGAACCATATAATTTTCTTGAACTAAATAAAATTTTTCTTTTTAAATATTAAAAAAAAAATTAGGTCAGTATTAAATGTTCTCTTCAGTTTTATGTATAATTAAATTAATAAAAATTTGACTATCTTTTTTTAGAAACCAAATACTGTTATCATATTTTACCTTGTGAAAATATGTCAAAATTATAAAAACAAATAGCAAACTAGCCATGACTCTATTGTGGCTTTGGTTGTGGTTTTTTCTTTTTACATTGCCTAATAAAATATATTTAGAGAAATTAGGTTGTTTAAAAAATAACCGTTCTATAAATGTCAATAATCATTTTTAGATGTTACCACGTAGGTATCAGATTTATTACATTTGAAGACAATTACGTGGTATAAATATTTCGCAAACCTGTTTTCTTCTTAGTATCACCACAGTCTGTTAAGTTTATTTTGTTGCTATTCATTCATGTCGTAGTGAAGGTCGCTTTAAAATCCTTATAATATACCTTGTTGACAATTCCTTTGGTTGATGCTTTGTTAGAAAGTGTTTAGGTTTAAGGATTTATTCATTCTTCGCCATCGTCTTTTCCAAATAATGAAGTACAGATTTGTAACTGATGTTTGACGAGATTAGAATACATTGTTTTAGCTTTCAGACGTGTTTCTCTTATGGAAACCATGGGGTTACATATTTTGAAATTCTGACCTAAAACAATGATGTCGTTTGTCGTTAATAATGTAAAGACTGTAATGGTGAAATCGAAACAGTGAAATATCTTAATGCCATGTTACAAAACATTTAAATTTTCGGTACTAAAATAAAACTAATTTTGTATAATTATTATTGAAAAAAGAAATAAGCTTTCTTATTTATGTATTAAGAACTTATTATAGTAAGAGTATAATTTATTCAAAACTTTGTTTATGACTTAAATTATTTTTTTAATATTTTTTTATAATGAATATTTTACGGCTGCAAACAACGAAATTTTTTCTAGTAAATTAGTAGAATTTTTAATATATATATATATATATATGTAATATTATAAGTTCAACTAAGTATAATTTAAGCATTGTTAAACATCGTTTTGTGTATCAATTTTTGTAAACAGTTTTCAATTCAGAATTCATAATGTAAGCAGAAAATTTTTTTTTTTTTTTGTCATACTTTCATAAGATTACTACAAATAAAAGATGATGAACAAATCCAATTGGGTTTTAACTCAATATTAAATGAAACATTGTATCAATTTTCAAAAATAGCTATGTTATCATTGTTATCCTTTTATAGTCGAGGGGAGTCCGTACCTCTGGAGTATAATTGGATTCAATACAGCGCAAAGATTTAATTTTTTTTTAAATTATACCTATACAGTTGGCTTAAAAGTATATTAATTTACGTAAAATTATCGGTAATCATAGAAAACACCATTAAAAACGTGTTAATGTGAAATCTAGATAATATAGTATTAAGTATTAACTATAGAATATACTTTTTTGAATATGTGTTTTTTTTTGTTGGATTGGGTTTATTTTAAATAATTAACATATATTCTCCATTAAACAAATAATAACCATAAATATGTTATAAGAAATCATTATGATTTCATTTATTAAAAATGATCAAAAAATATAGTGTATTATTTTTAATATAATAATTAATTTTATATACAAGTAATGGAGTTTTAACGTAAATATATCAAAAACATGTATTTTAGGTTTTCTATTACTGACGTCTCGGAAATTTTCCATATATCGATGCATTAAAAAAGTGAACTACGGTTTGTAAAAATCGAAAAATTTTTTGAGAGTGCGTTTAAAATAAATAATGAATTCTATTCACCAATAGTTCTTGTGCAATGGAACTAATGATAAAAACCTTAGTAAACCTCATAGTAAAAAAGATATTACTTAATATTTTATGTTTAAACGTAATTAGTAAAAGCGAGTATTTATATTTTAGGATAGGATGTACTGTAAATAAGAAAACTCTGTAGTAAAACTCTAAGGAACACTCTACATATTATTTGTTATTAATAACAATTTAAACTTACTTTTCAAATTATAACCTTGTGTTTGGAATTTAATCACATGACTATTAAAAAAAATGTATTTTGAAAAACATTCATAGTATTATTTCTTGTTGTATGTTTAACTTGTGATTTACTTATATTTCAATAATTTATTGGAGTCAATTGAGAGAATTATATGATCTCATTTAATTAAAATTTTCATTTTACGAAATTTACAAGACAACAGTTTCTTTTTTTAGTAGCTTCAGAGAAAGCAATTCGAGGTATTAGATATGTTTAAAATGAATTCCATTAGTTATAAACTAATAACTTTTTTTTATTAAACAAAAATTTGAAACATGAATTTTTATTCGATATATTGTAGAATTAAAAAATAAATTAGTTTTAACTCTTTATAAAGTAAAATGATTAACATTAAAAGTGACAAATTTAAATTGAATCTGTGTCATATGAGCCTCTTTATGATACATTCAAAATATATTTATTATTTGTTATTATGTAAATAAGTGCATTATTATTTAATAATATGAATGTATAGCATAAAATAAACTTAAAATTTTACGAATTTTGAATATAGAATGTTTCTTTAACAACGTATTACGTTTCATACTAAATAGTAGTTTTTATTTTCAGATATTTAGACATTGGTAGCCATGTCTGAATACCAAAGTGACGCCAAATACCGACCAAAACGGTACCAGTCCTTTGGCAAACTGCTTAGAAAACGTTTGCCGATCGTTTCTTGGCTACCCAAGTACGATGCTGATCAAGCGGTAAGCGACTTGATTGCTGGGGTCACTGTTGGGCTTACTGTAATGCCACAAGGTCTGGCATACGCAACGCTGGCTGGTTTGGAACCACAGGTATTAAATATTTTTTGTATGTCAATTGAAATGCTGCCTGCGTTATTAAAGGGTTTCTCTTAAAAGTATTTTATAAATCTTTTGTCAAAATTTAAACATGAAATTTTTCATATGTACATATGAAATGATAAAATAACAACTATTAAAATTAAGTCACGTAGTATATGCGAAAATCTTATCTTTATTTTGTCATTTTTTTTTTGTTAGACCCTTTTTTAATTTTATTCTCAAATGTTTAAAGAGATTTCAACCATCAAAAACTCAAAAAAATATTTTTTGATTTTACTAACGACGATTATGAGCGTTTTTGAGGTAGTTGATAGAAACTCTCTAAAGACCCTTTCCCCCCTCCAAAAAAAATGGTCTTTAAAGAAAAATAGTCAACCCCTAAACACTATGGACAAATATAATGTGAGTATTATACGCGTTCATTTTTAAGTTTAATAAATTGTTTGGAAGGGTATATCATATAATTTTTCACCGCTAAATAAAATATTTTAAAATTAATATACCAATTTTTGAAAGTGCAACTTAACTAGTAATAAATGTTTGGGCTGCCAACGATATATGTTTAAATATTGTGATCGTTAACTCTAGAAAACTAGAAGACTAGTAAAAATATGATTTTAGAAACCGTAAACATAACCGTTATCTAGTATTTATATTAACTTGCAAAAAAACTGTTATCCACAATGTTAAAATAACATTAAAAATAATCAGTATAATACTTTTTGTAAAATTGTATTTATCCAGCTTCAATTGTTAGTATTTGAATTTCAATCAATATACATTTTTTGAACGTGGGCGTCGAAAAAATAATGCCATGAAATTGTTTTACATTAGAATGGTATATCAACTTAGTAAACAATAAATCTCTTAAAAAAAAGCACACACACTTTTGGTATATTAACAATGGTTAAATGATGTGAACTAACCAATGGAAATAAGTCTAATTATATTTTATATTATAAATTTAATGTTAATAAATAATTTTGTGGCATTAGTTTACTTTATAATTTAATCTGGTGCTAATTTATCAATATTAGATTTAATGAATGAGTTTTTTAATTGGTTACAAACTAAGAGTTCTCCCCAGAAAATTTTTTTTAAAAAATTATAAACATATATTGTATACTGATTGTAAAAGTACTTTTAAGAGTGTGGAAAATGCAATAAGGAACTTCAAAAATTTTATTCTATTTACTCTTATGCTTGGTCGTATCAAGCATAAGTGTAAATTTCAGAAGTTATAATAACGCGGTCATAAATATTTATATAAACATAAATTTATATAAAAAAAATTTTTTCGAATCCAAAAACTGATTTGTTGGTAATTTTTATACTTGATTCTTATTAGTTATATGCAATGTTAAAAAAATTTTTGAAAGTAATTTTTAACTTCTTAACTGATCATATTTATTTTAGTATATAAAACATGTTCATTGCAAATATTACTACTTGTTATTTTCAGTTTGGACTATATTCGGCGTTTGCTGGCTGTATAGTTTACACATTATTTGGAAGTTGTAAAGATATTACCATAGGACCTACAGCTCTAATGGCTTTGATGACCTATCAACAAGTTACCGGCAGAAATTCTGATTATGCGGTTTTATTATGTTTTTTATCGGGAATTTTACAATTCATTATGGGATTTTTAAAACTTGGTAAATATATTATGTATAATATAATATGATAAAATATTCCAAAAAGATTACTGTTACATTACAATTATCACGCGATAAACTGAAAAAAATTGATCAAAAAATAATGAACTTTATAAACATATATAATCTTATTATTTATTTTTTATTCTTTTAATTATTAATTTTTGATAATATGGCAATATAAAACTAAAAAATAACGTATATCTATAGTGTTTATATCAACCATTTTCTGATAATGCTCATAGAGTATTGGAAAACAAAAAATAATTTTTTGTTAGCATAATAATAAAAAATGTCTACAAATAAAGATTTACGAGTAAAAAAAGAAGGTTAAAGGTCATAAAATCGATAATTTTTCAAAAAGAGCTAAATTTTTTGGGGGAATAAAGCTCTATCCAAAGTATACCTGGTTTCAATATTAACAAAAGATATGTTTTGAATTTAATGTACTTTTAATTGTAGAAATTAATAACATTATAAACAAATATAAAATTCAACGCAACGATTATACAACATATTAATGTTATAATACTGCAAATTTAGTTGTCTGATATAAATTTAAGGATTAATATTATTTTAATATCAACTAGTCTTTTAGGCATTTTTAACAATAACATTATGATTTTTATATATAAAAAGGAAGTTTTTATTTTAGTTTTATTTTATAAATTTAATGGATTTAAAAATATTGTATGATTATCTTTATTAATAAACTAACTAATAGATTTTAAAAATCATTTTTAATGATAACTTGACATGTTATAAGGTATTGTTTCGTTTTATTTTATCATAATGTCAGTATAACATGAATTTTTTAGTTTTAATCAGTATTAAATATCATCAATAGATCGTTAGCTTGTAGAGCAATATTCGTTGTAGCAAAATCAATAAATTTCTAAGGTTTTATGGGTTATTTTGGAAAATTAAAGAAGATACTTAGGGCTTCTAGAAAATTATTTATTGGATATTAAATTACATGATTATATAATAAAATATGTTATTGAGGAGTACTAGCTGTGAACTATACTATATTGATGCAAGTAAGTTATTTCCGGCAACTTGAACCTTTCAATATACCTTTTAAGTGCAGTATAATTTAATGTTTTAATTTTACATGTTTAACTGAGTAGGACACTAGCACACATTTTTTATTCTAATGTACTAAATAAATATTGTTTAAGAAATTTTGACGGGATTAAATTTTTACGATTAAATTACACATTTTTTTTGTATGAAAACTTAAGTTATGTATTAATAGAATCACATAACTCACTATTTGATGTTAAATTTATAGCTTTATTTTGACAAAGAAAATTTTGTAAATAAACTTATAAGAATAATTTGACAATTTCGCATATCAACATCAGTTAATTTAAGTGTAACTATAGTAATACATTAGACTGTAGATAAATTATCGATGCTAAAAACAGTAATAAACTTTTTCAAAGTTAATTTCCAAAAAAAAGTATATTAAAACGTGACTTATAAAATAAAAATGTTTGTATAGAGTTTTGAAATGATTTATTTATAATTTATGTAATTTCTGAATAATGAAATTTTTTATTCAATAGGAATAAAAATTCGTATAGAATAGTCATTTAGTTACTTTTGAAAAATCTTTATATTTTTATAATAATATAATAAACTTTTTTTTTGGGTATTCTTAAAATTAAAATATTATCAATCTAGCCTCATATTTAGACTAGTTTTTACTATTTTACTATTTAATTAAATAAAAATTATTTAGTTAAGTTTATACATATCAATGTATTATACTAATTTAGTTAAAAACCTCTTCTACATAAACTTGAATGACCAATAAAATGGGTTCCGAGTTTATCTGTTTAAAGTAAAACATTAATTAATCAAATCTTTTTTATTTTAAACGATGTTTCTTACAATTGTATAGATATTATTAAATTACTTATGAGTTTATTTATTGGTTACTTATTAGGATAGCTAACTATCATTTACTAATAATTAATTAGTTTTAATGTCTCTCTAAAAACAATTGTATTAGATAGATAAATATGATTTAAAATGGTGAATTTCTTCACTGCAGCTCAACAAATTTTTAAAATTGCTATTCGTAAATTGTAATACAAACTTATTCCACGACCAGTTGCAGATCTAAACTTATGAGGAACTGTTGAGTTGCAGTCCGAATATTTTTGGTGATCATTTGATTTTTGAAAAAAATATTTATCAAAACTATTATTTTAGACTTATGTTAGACTTATGAATATGTTTGTTGAAGTTTCGAAAATTTGGCACTCGCTCACTACTCTACCACAGCGCCTCTGATCCACATAATACACCAAAAATATGTTATGTTTTGAATGCATATCAAACTCGATCTCAATATAGTAATTTTTTAAGTACATTGACCCGGCATCTTCAAACCTTTTAGTTTTTGTTCCTTTTTTTAAATAGGGTGTGAAAATTAACAATATATCTTACGTTAATATTGTTTTACAAATAATTATCAAAAGTAATTGTATTAAACTTGAATCTCCATTGGAAAAAAAACCACTTGTACTTTATTCAGGAAACTGATCGTAATTCAATCACATTGGGTAATTTTGGACTAGTATAATTTAATATATTTATGCAACATAAAGAAGCAGTAATAAATAACATTAAGACATCTTTATGGAGAGGTTATTTTTTTTTATTATTGTTAGAACGCAAAATTTTATTCGATGAAATTTTTTGATTAAAAAAAAAAAACAATCGGTCATACGTTTGCCTATGGATGGCATGACTTATTGGACTAGATTGAAAAAAATTTTCCACTGTTACACTTGAAAATTGAATTTAGATAAGTAATATTAAATTTCTTTTAAAAGTTTAATCTTTCAACAATTTTTATAGAGTTTATAAATATGTTTTATTATACAATTGTATAATACAACAAAGAAAATAACGCTTTTCTGCGAAAAGTTATTATCGCGCTCTTATTTTCATAAAAAATGTTTTACAAAATCACTTAGTCATATGACTGAAAAAATGATTAACGAAAATCAGAAAATCATTCAATGGACATTATTTTTTATATTTTTTCTTTTAAAAGTTGACACTTATTTTAAAATAAATAATTAACAAGTTGTTAAGATTAACAACATTTTTCAGGAGATATACATTTAATATAGTTTAATACCATAAGGACATTTATTTCAAAACATAATTTATTTATTATATTTGTTATAAATTTTTACTGTATTTTTACTTTACTGATTTTGAAATAATTCTTATCTTTTAAAACACTAGTACCACCAGCCGTACTTGGATATTTTTACTGGAATCAGTAATTTACTGATAAGGATATGCTATTGGTTCTTATGTGCTTAAAATTGATTGTTTCAGGAGTTTTAATTGACTTTATATCAATTCCTGTTACTGTTGGTTTCACATCGGCAACATCAGTAATAATAGCAGTATCCCAATTAAAAGGCTTGTTAGGACTTAATTTTAAATCATCAAGCTTTTTAGATTGTTTAAAACAAGTATATCTAAATATTGGTGATTTCAAACCTAATGACACTATACTAGGATTATTTTCAATTATAATACTGTTGATGCTTAGGGTAAGAACAATAATTTTTATATTTTGCGAAAAAAATATTATTTATTGATTGATATTTTTACAGAAAATAAAAGATATCAAATTAGTCAGCCCAAGTGGTAAACCATCGAGTAAACAGTCGATGATTATGAAAGGCTTGTGGCTGCTCTCTATATCCAGAAATGCATTAATTGTGCTTATATGCTCAATGATGGCTTACTATTACCATTCACCAGACGCAGAACCTTACGTGACTTTAATCGGTAAATATGATTAGGTATTGCTATGCATGCATGATGCAGCTCATTATCAATTCTTACACATAGCGAACAAAAAAATATGTACTTCAAGCTATCGTTTATTTTTGAAGTAATTCGTGAAAAAAATGTTAAAATGGAAAAATGAAATTATACCTTAAGATTTTTCTATTGATTAGTTTCAATTTGATACCTAGTATTCTGAGTTTAGCGTGATGATACAAATATTAAAGTTATAGTAAACAAAGTTGATCTAATAGAATGTTATTTATCTTATAGCTTTTTTATCATTGATTTCAATGTTATTACGAATAAGTACTTTTATTTTGATAAATAATGTAGTGTTAAGTAATCTATAAGAGATTAATGTTGATTGACTTTGTTTAAATATTTCACCAAATTGGTCCTATTATTTTTATTTTTAACTTTCAAAATAAAATAAATGTGTAGCTTTTTCGATTAATTTAAAGCTCCAATTAACTTACAATTTTTTTTATCAAATTTACTATTTTCTATTTTTATGGTAACAGTACGATATAATATTGGATTTTATAGCATAATATATTTTTAAAAACTTTACTTATAGTTCTAATTAAATTATGTTTTAGGAAATGTAAGGTCAGGATTACCACCTTTGAAGTTTCCTCCGTTCAGTACTTTTGTAAATGGAAAAGAAATTGGATTAATAGATATGTGTTTGGATTTAGGATCTTCAATTATTCTAGTGCCCGTTATTGCTGTTTTAGGAAATGTGGCTATTGCTAAAGCATTTGGTATATTATTAGAAATTAATAATTGACGTACAATATGTTGAAATAAAATATCTTATTCTATGTAGCCAGTGGAAATTCTGTCGATGCTACCCAAGAGTTATACTGCTTGGGAGTTTGTAATTTGTTAGGATCCTTTGTGTCGTCTATGCCGGTTACTGGCTCTTTTTCCAGAAGCGCCGTCAATCATGCGAGTGGAGTTCGGACACCAATGGGCGGAATGTATACAGGTATATATTGTTTTTTTATTAAATACTTGGTATGTGTTACATTTGCTATCAAATTAATTCTATTGTAGGGTTACTCATTATATTAGCGTTGAGCTTGTTGACACCTTATTTCTACTTTATACCTAAAGCATCTTTGGCTGCAGTTATTATCAGCGCTGTCATATTTATGATTGAATACGAAGTCGTAAAACCCATGTGGAAATCTAGCCGTAAGTATAGTAAAGACTGAATTTTTTATAAGAGAAAAATTGCTTTGACACTGTTTTTATTTTAGGAAAAGACCTTATACCAACATTATCTACGTTTTTGTTGTGTTTGACTATTGGTGTTGAATTGGGGATTTTAGTGGGTGTGGCAATCAATATAATACTATTACTTATTCCTTCAGCAAGACCTTTTTTACACATTGAAATAAAAAAAGTAAAATAAATTTCAAAAGTATTATTTAACATGTAGTTAATAAATAATTCGGGCTCTTTTATTTTATAGTTAAGAACCGGTTCAGAATATTTATTAGTAACCCCCGAAAATAGCCTATATTTTCCTGCGGTAGACTTTATGCGAGCCAAAACTGATCGGGCAGCAATTAAAATGGGACAATCAAAACTTCCAGTTGTTGTAGATTGCAGACATGTACTCGAGGCAGATTTCACTGCAGCTAAGGTTTTTATAAAGCTTGTAACATACCTATAAAATTTTCTTAAGCTATTTATTTTTCTAGGGTATTGAAGGACTTATTACAGACTTCAAGAAACGAAAACAACCTTTATGTTTTTACAATCCTAGAAAAACTGTTTTAGCTGTTTTACAAGGTGTCTGTGTCGATGAAATTGTCCATTGTTTTACTGACGACGAATTAGAACATACGCTCAACGGTATTTAATTATTAATTTTCTCAATATTCTTTCTATACGTTTCTTCATTTTACATTATCTCTGTATAAAATTCATGATGTTAACTTTATAAATCTTGTTAACCATGCATCTCTAATCATCAATTTAATAATTATAATAGATACAGTCATAATTCACTATAAGCATTAAGTGATTAAGAGATTAAGAGGCAAATTTGAATGTAGAGTAGATGTGAATTGATTAAAAAAAACGGGTTAGTCGTAGTGTTAAATAAAGTTTACGTAAAATAAACATCAAATTTTGGGTACAATATGTTCAATCTTCTGTATTTTATGTGAACTCAATTTATTACTACAATTTTTATTTAATCAATTCAAATCTATCTTATACTTTAATGTGCATCAGTCTCCTCTACTTTTGTTTTCAACATCTTGAGAAGATTAAATTGAAGTCCGCATTTTACATAATTTTTTATCCTGATAAATCTTCTTAGTATTGTACTTCGGATTCAACTTAAAATTTTGATTTTGGGACAAAAAAAATATTGTAAAGCATTTAAATCTGAATATAAATACATAATTATCTTAATATTATATGATATTATCTATCTTAGTGTATGTCAAAACTATTAAATAAAATAATCAAAATTAATTTTTCAATAAAAAATAGTTTAATCAGTTAGTAATGTGATCATTATTATTGTAGAATTAATTATGACATACTAATCAAATAATGATAGTAAAAAATTTCCCATGATGAAATTTAACAGATATGTCAGCAAAAAATATACCACATTCTGCTGCTCAAGGCTCATATTTATCAGAAAAAAATTACTATACTAATAATATGACAATTTTATTTTCCTTCTGTACGGGTATAAACACATGCGTAAATATGCTTAGTTTTCAGATCTGTTTATTTTGTCATGAGTTGTCATCCTTTTTGATTTCTATGTAAAAATTTGTACTAAATGGAAATTTAACGTATAAAAAACTATTATTTAAACTGCATTTATTACTCTTTCAATTTTTTAAATACTTATTTGTTAAAATTATTTTTTTAAGATCCTTTTTTTTTTTACAAATGATCTTGTAAATAATTTTGTCTATATTAAGATTGATGAGTTCATTCATAATATATGTCTTAAGTCGTATTTATGTGTTTTGTTTTAGATATTATCTGTTTGGAAAATGGAACAGAGTTAAACGACATTGTACATTCGACAAAACAGTCTCACGAAGTTCCATTGTTGAACAGAAGACAACATTAAACTTAAAATAACTCTTAATTAAATGATTTGTTATCAAAACCTACGTTTTTATAGGTAGTTATAAATATTAATAATAAAAGAATTGTATTAATTCTCAAAAGACATAATATGTCCTGTAATATTTATAGACACGAATAAAATATTTTTGTATATGTTTATTTCATATATTTTTAACATTTGATAGCGTTTTAAGAAATCTATTTTTTTCATTCATTTATTTTTAATTTTTCTAATATTTTTCTTAAAAATCTTTTTTATATCTATTAAATGAAAATATAAAATTTATTATGTTAATATGTTTTTTTTTGTTTAAGTACAGTTCAATGGTTGTTTGATAAAATCAATATGAAATTGATATTATTTCATATGTTACTAAAAAATAGTTATAAACTCAATTAATACGATTTATATGAAAACCCATCTTTTAATAAAATATAAATTAACATTATTCATAAAATATTCGATCAAGCAACTTCTATTTATAAATTTATTTACAAGTAACTAGTATTACGAATGTCAAGAAATATTTTTATTAATTTTGCGATACTGAACAAAATCTATCTATACTGAAATTAGTGATGTAATTAAATATTGTACAAATAACTATAAGGGCAGTGGTCTATATAAAGATGGTTAAAAAGTTTGAACTTTCCCGTCCTAAATTAATATTTTAAGTAAAAAATTTCCTAACAAAGGTCACAACTTGGTGTTAGCCCTTCATTGAAAAATCTTGGAACACCACTGTATGAGTTAATTAGTATAAAATATTACTTTGTATAGTTAAGATTAAAGGTTAAAAGTAAGATAATTTTTATGGAAATCCTAATAAATTAAAATATTGGATGTTTAAAAAAATACATTTTCATAATTAAATTGACATTTTGTTTTAAGAATTTTGAGTATTCTCAAAGTATTTTTCTCAAAATATATTAATACTCAATTTTGAGTATTATTTTTATGTATTTATCAATCAAAGCTAGGCACTGCTAGTTAGAAAATTACAGTTAATTTAGAAAGTTATAATATACGTACCTTTTTAATTTAACTATTTAAATTAAATGTGTAAAATAACGCTAATATAAATTGTTAGAAATAAAATCAACTGTAATGTATTAATAGTTAATATTGAGTATTTTTGATACGAATAGACATGATAGTGTTATCGAAGTGTTTAGCCGTTTACTTTAATAATACAATATTATTAATAGTGATACGTTGCACAATTATTCTACAACCGCGGAAACGACACACACATGCGACTAATGAGTATTATGTCCGCGGTTCGTTCATATTTTTCTTTTCTTCATTTTAAAGAGAAATATAAAAAATATATATTAATTATAATACAAGTATTGTTTCACTAAAAGGCCTATTATATTAAGGGTTAAAAGAGATATAGATAAAAAATTAAGGTGATATAATAATTTGTTATATTAATATTACTGTATTTATAATTTCATATTTTTATATGTAGATACCTACTTAAATTGGTTACTGTTCATATTTTTTTCTCAACTTGTTTCTGTTATAGTGTAATATTTAAAAGACTATCTTGTATTTAATAGCTTCGAGCTGAGAGTTAGTTTTACTATGACGTGTTTTTTTTTTTTTTTGTTTGTTACCACTTTTTGTTAGCTCTCACCGAACCAATTTCTTTGAACGCCAAAAGATCATAAATCGTATTTAGTCGAAGACATTACCTTCAAAAATTAAAAAAATTTCCCTCGTTCCCCATAAATGTGGGAAATCTCCAAAAAACACTGCCATAACTTTTTTAAAAATGACCAAATCAATATAATTTTTTTTTTTAAGATGCATTATGCCTTTACCTATCATTTGGTATATTTTTTTTTATAAATCTGACCCTTAAGCCTTAACTCCCTTAACAGGGAGGGATTTAAAATGACATCTTTTTCACAAAAAATTAACTTTTAGAACTTAACTTTTGAAAGTGTTCCGGAAAGTCTGACATTTTTATATATATCTTAAATTAAAGCTATTGTAATATACTTTATGATAGAAAAATAAAATACGGACTTTATTTTGTCTTCACGGTGAAAATGGCTACCAAATGCTATTTTTGTTTGAAAATTGTCGATTTATATTTTATACTTTTAACTTTATCATGCTATAACTTTTTGAAAAATATATGGATCAATACAATTTTTTTATGAGAAGTAGTATTTATATACATCTATCATTGGACATACTTTTTTTTTAAATCGGACCATTTCCCTTTATATATATATATATATGTTCCGGAAGGTCTGACACTTTTATATATATCTTAAATTAAAGCTTATGTAATATACTTTAATTTGAAAAAAAAAATTGACCTCTGGACTTGTCTTCACGGCGAAAATGGCTACCGAATGCCATTTTCGTGTGAAAATTCTCGATTTTATTTTTTACATTTTTAACTTAATAATGCTGTAACTTATTAAAAAGTGTATGGATCAACACAATTTTTTTATGAGAAATAATATTTTTTAATAATCTCTTTTTCATTCGACATATTTTATCTTAATCGAGATATTAATAAGGAACCAGCAGATCATATAGCTTTTGGAATAATCCATCATTTTTTAAATGAAACATTATCTAAAAATTTGCATCGAAGCATTTTTTATGATAGTGATTTTACTCACTGTCAGATATCATTATACCCAACTATGCCACGTCACCACAGTGCCGCAACCCCCCTGTGCAGGGTATTTTTTCATATTAAATTTGAAATTAAATATTAAAATTTTGATTCTGACTTTTTGATGTATAATATTCATTTCTAGTTGATTTTTAATGATACAACGACAATTATAGGTAGGTTCTACTTACTTTTAATAGGTATTATTAAAAATTCTACTTATTATTAAAATGATTGAGATAAATTTTAGAAATTAACTTCTAGTTTGCCTTAATTAGTTTTTATATTAAAGTAACTTAACTTTAACTGGTTTGAAAAAATGACTAACATTGCTATCTTAACCAGTTGCTGAACTCTCACAAAATATATTTTATGATCATTATGTTGAACACCCTTGATATTATTTTATATATTAATATTCTTGTGTTTAAAACTAAGCTATGATTTAAGTTGCAGTTGAACATTGTCCATATAATCGGAAAATATTCTTATTTTTTTTATTCATTTAAAACTGCTTGAAAAATGTTTGTATAGAAAAATTACTAGAATTTTATTTTTATTTAATGTGGTTTACTTTTTAGTAGTTACTCCAAAAGTTGGCTTTACAGAATTTTTCCATATTTCCACCAACTCACTTTATTGGTCATTTTCTTAAGTTCCCTGTAAGTTCTCAGTTGAACATAAGTATTTACTTTTCTGAGTAAAATACATAACATAACAATGGATTGTTGAAACATTGGCATTACGAGTTTCCAACACTTCAAAAACTTTAGCTTACATTTAATTAAGGTCAAGTTATGCATATAACCGATTATTCAATTACTATCAATAGAAGAGAACTATTACATATAAAAATTGTTTCTCAATTAGAATAAATAAAATCGAAATTAAAATTTTTAATTATAACCTCAATCAATGATAGATTCAGATTTTGTTCAAGAGAAGAATTACAACATATTTATACAGGAAGATTCTATTATCATTGACCACTTAAGGGGTCATTGATAATAGGGGTTAAGGGCTGCATTTAGGGGAGGGCACTGGTGCATGTGACCTGGGCGGTACTAAAATATAAAGCAAATTATAGAGTTAAAGACTTTTTTTTTGCTCATTCATAAAAAAAAATTGAGAAAAAATTTTTTGTTGTTCAAAATAAAAAAGTTGAGGGCGGTACAAATCCTAAATGCGGTCCTGTTCATAAATAGTTTCATAATATAAGTATGAGTGCCACTTAAACAACTTGATAAGCAGTAAATTATAATTGTGTCAGGCACAGATACAATTACAATTTCTAAGAACTTAAGACATTTTTTTGATAGAGGTTTGTTTAATAGAATTTGATTAACTACTAAGGTTTTTTTAGATAAAGATAAATTGATAAAGATACTTAATGTTAACATATGTAGATTGTGATTAATCAAATTAAGTCTACATGAATATATCATCAGTTTTATAAAGACATTATTTTGTATGACAACAATTTTGGAAACCATTGAAATTAGCGTTACATACATATTTGGTATCTATCGCTTTTTTCTTTCATCATTTAAATTATCTTTAAAGATAATAGACAATTATCAGTTAACCGCCTTCTTAAGCAAATATTCAAATATTAATTAATATGAGTTAAAAATTTAAAAATCAATGTAATATTATAATGATGTGTACATTGCTGTAATTAAGCAATACAAAATGTCATATTTTTGTATACCAGATTCACATAACATTTCTATTGAAAATCAATAATTAATAACGCCAAATTGTTTATAAATATTTAGTTTTATAGTAAAATTGATCACACATACTTTTTCAGTTTTTTATAGCCTAAACACTTAAGTTTTTTTAAAGTTGAGTTATATTTCTCATTACAATGGATAAAAGGTTAATGAATGTAAGCCTTTTAGGCTTGTCATTTATGCTCGTCTTCACCGCATTTCAGACAATGGGTAATATTGAAGTAAGTGGTAATCACCTTAAATAAATATTGTTCAAAATATATATGAAACACTATAACCATACTATGAATTTTTCTTTACTTAATTAAATCTGAACAGGTAAAATTGTTATAACTAATACTATCACTTTATTCAAAAATATGGTACAATAAAAAAAAAATTATTTATGTTGATTATTAAGAAAATTGTACTGGAAAGTATACAAAATGACTATCCAACATTCACGGGAGATGGATACATCAGTTTGTCAATTATTTATGTAGTATTTGCATTGTCCAGTTGGGTATCGCCGTCTATCGTTAGTTGTGTAGGATCGAGAAAGTCAATGTTTATTGGATCTTGTTGTTACACGTATGTGTTATAAGTAAAATAATGATGCACGAAATACAAAAATTGTTATTATTTATTTGCAGCTTATTTTTAATTTCATTCCTTTTGCCTTCAACAGAGTTGCTTTATTTAATGTCAGCATTAATTGGATTAGGAGCTTCAATTATTTGGACAGGACAAGGAACATATTTGACTTTGAATTCAGATCCAACAACCATGTCTAGAAATTCTGGTATATTTTGGGCATTATTACAAATGAGGTTTTTATTAAATTTTATGTAGTAATATTGTTATTATGGTGATTGTCCGATACAAATTCCTCTAAAATGAATATTTAAATATTTAGCATTAAAATTTCTATAAATATGTTTCTAACATAAAAATTTTTATGAATTATTTAAAGAAATTTCAACACAAGTCTTTATTTATTTATGTCTATATTCTTCATTTAAATAATGATTTTTTATATTCACAAATAATAATACAAATATATTAAAAAACGAAGTGATTTTCTTTATGTAAACCGCTCGATTTCTCTTAGAAAAATAATTATGTTAAAAAATTCTTTTAGTTTTTCTTGTTACATTTAATGTTTGGTTCATAAATTATTATGTATATTTTTATTTAAACTATTATATCTTTTAAAATATCAATATTTCAATATTTTCACACTAATTTTTGTTTATAAGTATTACATTTTTTCGATGAAAACTGTTATTTGCTTGAATATAATAGCCTGGAATTGAAAAAATAGCAAATAGTATATTATCTATGCAATCATAAGATCTCATATGTATTCATTTATTGCAAATCAAATTAAATATTAATAATTGTAAAAATTTAGGTTATAGAGGATGTCACGAGGTGGCTCCGACGTTAATATTCTTTGATATTATAAGTTATAAGTTAAGGAATACCCTTATTCTGATTCAAATTAGTACGAATATCAGTTGACGGTGTACTCTTGTGATATTATGATAATATATAAAAAAAAACCACGATGGAGTAGGAATTATAATAACTGAGTAATATCCGCCATAGTCGCAAACTAGTCGTAGTCCGTCAAAATCATGTTAACTGGTATTAGATATTTAGTGTACTCGATGTTTATAACAATAACTACTTGTATGATGTCGAAGTAAAATTCACATCGTGTAAACTGTGTGTTTACCCAAAAAATTGCGTTTTCCTTTAACACAATGAATTGTAATTTCTTAGATGATTATTATTCAGCCAGATATTTTAATAAGTTTTATTCAATAAATATATTACTAGTAATTGGCGTAAAAAAATCGCGTTCTCTTTATTGTCCTTTTCTTTACCACACAAAACAACTCTTTATTTCGTAAACCATGTTCATGTAAAAAATTTAATTTTCACAGTTTTAAAAATGCTGTAAAAAATTTATTACTGTGTACATTAATAAGAAATATTTTTATGCTTTAAAAATGGCTATCTTGAACTTTATTACGTTTTTCGGAAATCAAAAAAAAATGTTTTATTCTTTAAAATATAAAATTATAAATTACGATATTATTTATAGTTTAATAGTAGAACAATTGTTTAAAAATGAAAGTGTTGTAAAATTTAAATAGAGTAAAAGTTATAGGACATTCAGGACCACTTTGTGTATAAATGGCCTCATTTCTTCTACCGTCTTAGTATAAAAATATTTATAACATCAATTGTACTGGCTCAAGTTGTTATCGACTAGTCATATTCTTAATTAGATCATTTTCTAATTTATAGCTTAGTTAAATATGTATGTTACCATTAAACAAATAAAGTTGAAAATTAAGTATTTAATAATTAATAAATCAAGAAATATATGAATCTAAAAAAAAAAAAGAAAATATTTTCTTAGATTATTTTCTATTAGATAAATAATGCATGATAGATTGATAACTTTTGGACCAGTACATCAGAAGTTATGACTTTTTTTTAATATAAACTGTAGAAGAGGCTTGGGTATAATAATGTTTATCATTAAACATATCTCTGTCAATCCTCTTCTGCCGCCAAAGATTATAATTTTAATAACTTACGAAATACAGGTCCAAAAGTTGCTATCGGCCAATAATTTTCTTAATTAGATTATTTTATAAGCTATTTAAATACACATGTAGCTATTTAAAAAAATACAGTTTACATCTTAATAAGGTATATTAAATAAAAGATAAATTAAAGTAGTAATTTTTAATTGATAAATCTAGAAATATATTAAATTAAAAAATATTATTTTCTTCTTTTTCCTCGCCTTAATCCTAACTACATGTGGTCGGCTAAAAAAATTGTCCTAACATAACTGTTATTTTAAGAAAACTGAGTCCCTAGCGTAAAAAAGCCACTTTGTTTATACATATTTTTTATGATTAATTATTTAGTATTTATAATATTTTCTAATTTTTTTAAATCTATCTACTTGAAAAATTCTTAGTTTATTGTGAGTTTTTGACATTAATAGTTTTATAGTAAACTGTAAATAAACGTCATTAAAAAAATTTAATAGTTATACACAAATTTGGGTTATAAATGGGTTTTAACAATTATTTACGTCAACATTTAAATTGATCATTATTATATTAGGAATATTAAAATAATAGTTCCAATTATGAAGTTAAATTTTTAGACAGAAATATCTGTTTGCTGTTTGAAAGAGATAAATATTTATTATTTTTGAGATAAATTTAACTATATATTTAATTCAATAAATTATATTAAAATATAATGAATTTAGTTTAATTTTTTTAATTTAATTTTTCAGCATGTTTTTAGGAAATACTTTTGTATATTTTGTTCTTCGTGATAAATCTCATTTAGATGAATCAACTAGAACACTTTTATTTACCGTTTTGACTGTAGTTTGTTTTTTGGGAACATTACTGTTTCTACTTTTACGATCATCAGTTAGTTTTGAAGGAGCGGAAAATGAACAAGGAATACCTCTGAGCATAACGAACGAATTAAAAAATTCTATTGCTCTTTTTTTAACTGAAGATATGTGCTTATTAAATATGTCATTCTTCTTTACAGGTATGAATAATAAATAAATATCTTAAAGGCATTTGATAATATAACTGTGAATATTTATAAATTTTGATTATAGGTTTACATTTATCATTTTTTAGTGGAGTATATAGTTCAAGTATTGGGTTTACAAAACAAATAGGTCCTAACAGTAAGCAATTGGTTGGATTATCTGGTGTCTTTATTGGTGCTGGAGAAATTATTGGTAAGCTTAGTATTATTAGTTACAATAAAACTATTTAGGTTATTTATTTTTTAACTATAGTTCCTCGCTATCTCTTTATTAAAATAATTTCTAAGATGAAAAATTTTACACTTTATTCTTTTATATACAGAGTAAACATTTGCACTTTTATATTTTACTTATTGTACAGTATAAGAAAGTGCGAATTTTGTTATTTATAATTTTTATTAAATTTTTCGTAACAATATGTATCAAACAAAAAATCACTACTTTAAAGTTTTAGTTAATCTTGTTTTTATTTAGTCAATTTTAAATTACCAATTCCGTTAAATACTTATTTACCATTCTTTTTGAAGGAGGTTTGCTATTCAGTATTTTAGGTAAAAAAACTACTACTGCTGAATTAGGATCTAAAGGATTTGGTCATTCTGCTGTTGTTGCACTTGGATTTATTATAAATATAATAGCTTATGGATTAATTTTCATTAATCTACCTGATGATGCTCCATTTAAAGATACTGACACGATATCTTTTATTCAGCCAAAGTTAGTATTATTGAATGAATTAAATAAAATTATTTACATTAATTTAATATTTACCTTTAATAATAATTTAGTCAATATATAGCAATATTCTGCAGTTTTCTTTTGGGTTTTGGTGACAGTTGTTTTAACACTCAACTATATAATGTAATTGGTCAAAAATATTCTGAAAATAGTGCACCAGCTATAGCGTTGTTTAATTTTATGAAGGTAACTTGAAGCTTCTTCATTTATATCGTTTATAAAAAAAAAAATCAGGGACTGAAAACAGTTTTCTAAAAACCAGTTAACACAGATTTTATCATGTTTTATTAACCGAAACTTATTATTTATCAAAACCAAAACCGAACCCACAAACATATTGGATGGTTTTAATCCCTAAAAAAACTCAAATTAAAAATTTTTTGTCTGTTTCAGTATTAATATACATATATTTTTTAATTTTTATTATTATGTAAGTTGTACTATTAAATTAAAAAATATAAACTTCTTTTATTTTAGTCCATTGCAGCTGCTATAAGTTTTTTCTACAGTAATCTCTTTGGAATGTATGTTCAATTAACATTGTTAATGATTACTTTAATTATGGGTTCATTGTCTTTCTTCAAAGTAGACAAGTCTCTAGAAAATCGGTGAGAAATTAAAAACATGTATGCCATGCAAAACAATGTATTTTTATATATTGTCATTAATATTTTAACTTAATATAATTTCATTAAGTTTATTAAGAGTAGTTCATTCATCGTAATTATATTTTTTGACCATCATTCCATTATTGTTATCGGTCAAGTATTTCGTGTGTCAAATGGTTTTTTATTTTAATAATTAATTTAATCCATAATTTACATAGGTATAAAGAATTTTAATATTCAAATGATTCAACTTTAATGAACTTGATCAAGTAAACATTCTCCTGTACAATACTACACAATTGTTTATATTATACATTTTTTCAATAATTTGTAGACAATAAAATTACATATTTTAATTGTGTGTTATAATTATAAATTTTACTGTACCAACAGAAATATAATTATATTCATAATTGTATAATCAAATTAAAAAAAAAACGGTAGCACAGTGGGGTCGCGGCAT